GTATTTTTTGTTCGTTTAACCGACTGTATGTACCTAAATAGAACAATTGAATAATACGCCTTGATCATGGCCGTCGCAAGGATTTGTTCCAGAGGGGGTCAATTAAAGCACATTATTTCAAAAAATACTTGTACTTTCTCTAGCATATTCCCAATTTGTCATTTTTTTTATGGTGGTGATAGATGACCTGGGGCATGACAACCACGTGGCTGGGACAATATAAAACAAAGAAATGTGGAAGCGATTTTAACCACACTGAATCTAACGAAGGTTTGCAGGATGTGAGTCATAATTAGTTCAAAACATTGGAAATGTATTTTTTGTTCGTTTAACCGACTGTATGTACCTAAATAGAACAATTGAATAATACGCCTTGGTCATGCACTCTAAAAAAGAAGTGTGAATTTATGTTGTGTAAAACTGTTGTGTAAAAAGATTGTGTCATTTCTGCCCAATATTGAGCAAAATGAAAATTTCGCTTGTAACTCCTACTTGTGTCAAATGTGTTACACATGTAACGGATAAAATAATACCCAACATTGACTACAAGTCCCGGCAGCACAGGCAAAAAGTTAAAATAATGGTATTATTACCCAAGTGATGGGTTAAAGAAACTGGATTTACCCCACCACTGTGTTAACAATTATTTCATTGTACACGTCGAAGAGTAGAATTTACCACGACATTAGTAAAATGTTACCACTGTGTGGGGTAAACTGACGCACGTGACAACGTTTACCCAATATTGTGCACGCGTCATCACTCATGTACAAAATGGCCGCCGCTTGTGAGACCTTCAATAATTTGGGGATTTTGAAGACGTGATTTCTTTGTTTCAGGTAAGTCAGTGAAATGAATTTCAGTGTTGTTTCGTCCAAATGCGATGCTGATGTATGAGGATTAATATCGGGGAGATTGGAGAAGTGACATGCTTATTATTTAGACATTTATTTGCAACTTGGACGTCACGGCTCTGCCAACCACGATTCCATGCACATGATGCATGCGTTTCATGTACCGCATAGTGAGTGTTCTCAGTTCTAGAAACACGGAGTAAAGTGACCTACATTTGGGGAATTGTTTTGAATGAGTTGATTGAGGAAATTCTAACAACCCTGCCCATCATTTAGCCCACGTTCCTCGTAATAGTCCTCATGCATCAGCACCATATTGGGGGAAATATCATCTTATTCATTTTACTGACTTTCCAACCCAGGACTCGGTTATTGAAATCCCTCGCAATTGCTGTCTCTAGCATGCAATTCACATTGCAGAGTTCAAAGTTGAATAAAACCGCAAGGATCAATAACAAAGGTACACAACAACTAATTTAAAAACCACCCAAGTGATGGGTAAATTTAGAACCCAACAGTGCAGGGTAAAAATTAGAACCCAATATCTGGGTAAGAAACTGACACAACACCTGGGTAAAAAGAGGGTTGGGTAAAGTTTACCCAATAACTGAGTAAAAAGGGAACATGGTCGTCACATGGGTAAACTTTCTTACCCAACTTTGTTGTGCAAACACTTAACACAATTATGGGTACAAGTTACACTGAAATGGGTACACTTCTACACTTTAGCTGTTGTGTAAAAAAAAGTACACAAGTTGACGACCATGTTCCCTTTTTACTCTCGAAAAGGTAGTAATTTTACCCAATATTGAGCAACTATTTTTTAGAGTGTGGCCGTCGCAAGGATTTTGTTCCAGAGGGGGTCAATTAAAGCACATTATTTCAAAAAAATACTTGTACTTTCTCTAGCATATTCCCAATTTGTCATTTTTCGATGGTGGGCAAGGGGACATTTCCCTCCCCACCCCCACTGACACACCTGCGGACGCCCATGTTGTTAAATGTGCAGCAAGATGACTTCGCACCTCTGTTTTTCTTTTCTTTTTCTCTCCTTTTTTCCTTTGGGTCCCTTTTTTTCCTTCTTTCTTTCTTTCTTTTCCGGGGGGAGCACCCCTTTGCCCCCTCCTGGCGACGCCAATGGCCTTGATGCCGTAGCAGGAAAGACTAGCTTGATTAAGACCAAACATACAAATAGCTTTTACGTCCAATTTGACTATGGCTTCAGTCAGCTGTGTGTGCAAGTTTATTCTTTCGTCGTCAAATATAGGGAGTACTCTGTTTCTCCAACTAATGTGCCTCGTAACATTATCGTTCACAGTATACAGGGAGCATATATAGCAGGATCTACAACCTTCCAAAAATCTCACAGGCGTTGTTCTAAATTGTCACGTAGATCATGGGTTCACGACCCGTCACAATTCCGATAACCATTGGATCGGAAACAGTATAAGGGCGTGACATGGAACATGCAGTTTATAGTTTTCCAGTAGAATGACAATACATGGAAATATCCTGATAACAGAACTGTAAACATCCGTTGCCAACAGCAATTGATGGCATGTGATCACTTGCAAAAACTCAAAAACGAAACTGCAAAAATATTACGAAATAGCCCACTTGATTGTAAGTTTATAACAGCATGAAACATTCCGTGAAATCGTTGAACCCTTTATGCTGTCATTTTCAAGAAGAGAAGAATTTTGGTTAGGACCTAACAATCCCTGAGAACAACATTCTTCTCACGGCACTCGACTCGAGCACTCCCTGTGACCTATGGGTTCTATGCATGACATATTCCGCGAGCTGCACTTAGACGGTTGAAAATGAAGGGCGTTATTTCCCCCGTGTTTTTCCAGCACCAGTGGACAGAAAACATTGAACAACTCAGTCAAACGATGTCTGCTATAAAATATTAGCTCTTAAATCGGAAATTACGACAAATGCAAATAATATCCATTCTACCTTTTATCCCATCCGATGTTCTCCCAAAATATCGGCTAGGACTGTTTTGTCCTAAACTTGATTGTGAATAGGAAATGGACCTAAATGACAATAATATACGTTTTTGTCTGATTGGAATTAATAATGCGGATAAACATTATTCTTTGCATGGAGGTCTCTGCACGTCAACGATATTAAAGGGCGGTAAGAAAAAAATTGAAATGGAAGGAAAGAATCATGAAACTGCTTTCCTAGATCGAGTACTTCACACAGTCCATTTAGAAAACTCACTGCATGTGCTGGTATAGGTCAGTACACTTTGGATGGCATCTTTTGGTGTTTTTCGCGTCTTATTACACATGTTTGGGTGAAGGCTGAGCAGACAAACCATTATTGCCTGTGTTGAAAAAAAGATTCTATTGGGCTTTCGGTATAGCATAATTGCAAGTCAATTTGTTTATCAAGTCAACTTGGGCACTGATATTTGTATTGAGCCCTATAACCTACTTTGTGCAATTGTTTCATTGATTTTTATTTCATGATGTGCTTTTCATGGTATTTGCCATATTTTTGGGAAAGCAATCTCTTTCCTGTGGTGGTTCTCGGGCATTATTTGGAAAACATCTGATACTGCAGGATTGTCTATTTAAACAGAATTATGATTCGTTATTTGGTACAATAAGCAGGAACTCATTACAGGAACTCTGAGTGTAATATACAATATTAAAGCAGAATTACCTTGTATCTGTGTGTGAGCCCTGTCATAAGAACCGTTCATTTTCCTGCTTAACAAGGAAAAATGAGACAAGAATTCATAGAATTGTTGTTCTATTGTTGTTCTGGATCACGATACAGCTGTGATTATTCACCCTCTGGTGTTAAAAGAAAACTTGAAAGTCAATAGAGTTGAGTATCAATGAGTATTTAAAGGATTTTACATAAAATGTCTCTAGGGAGTGAATTATGTATGGGCTTAAGAACAGCTGCGTTATGCGTACAAAAACAAGTAGGCCCAAAAGTACCGAAATGTCAAAGCTATGAGTACATAATGTTTAACATGCAGTGAATGCTCTAATTTCCCAAAATCCCACTGGTTTGCTTAATCAACTATGCTAAGCTAATTTTGCTATAGCTGAAAAAAGTGTATTTTGGTAGTTGTCATTTTTCCAACAGACTTAGGGTATACTAAGAGTATTTTGGGTATTTTTTGTCAGTTTCATTTGGTACTTCTAATATTTCAATTACTTTTTTATTTCTTCCAAATACTGTTAATCATGTTCAATTCATCCCTTAGTTGCGATTCATGATTGATTCAATAAACCATTTTGAATGAATGAATGAATGAATGAATAAATACATCATATATGTTGCAAAAAGAAGGAAACCCACTCTTTTGACAACAATTTTCACCTGTTGAGCATATTTCAAAAGAAATTTAATAGTATTAAAATATTGATATTTAAACATCAGTGATGAAAACAATGATTGAAAATGCATATTTTGTCTCTGAGATATGGTAGTTTAAAAATTTCACGTGCCAAACCTGTTTGCCCACGGACGGTTTTATTCCATCTGCTTGACTGAGCTCCGGAGCCCCCCTTGATTTACATGTGGACAACAGTGATTTTGGTGACTTGCATTCAAATTAGCAAACTCACACTCTTCTTGCAAATTTTCCAACATGTATGGTAGAAGAGCCATACTTCACTACATTATAAAAGAAAAGTTCAAATAAGTTAAATAAGTTGGTTAAACTTCCAGTCAAAAGTGCGTTTCCTTCTTTTTGCACGACCCTGTATTTGTATCCCGTAGCAAAAACGTCACATCTTTATACACACAATGCGCAGGTATTCAGGCTGGCTATATGATGCTTGCATAAATTGATTACTTATAACTGTTAATATCACTTTTCAGTATTTCTATTTTCCATTGTAAGTTTCTTATTTTGTTTTCATTCCTAAACAACACAAATGTTCACACATTGTTCTGTCAACTCTGGAGAAAGTCCTTTTGTGGCTTGAGTTGATCGTCTTTTGGTAGGCAGGCTATATTAAGGCTGTTACCACATATCCGGTTCCATTGAACGGGGAAAGTTTAATAGGTCTATTTTTGATTTTCGAAAGTATGATGTCATCCGGTCATGATTATGTGCGCGATGCGATTTCGCTCATTGTGTGAACGAATTCAGCGAATCGTTTGGTAGGGCAAAATATCATTTCACGTTAAAAGTGTGCAGGGAAAGGTACTCGGTTGGCCACAAATCAAGCTGTATACGCTCTCAATTGGAAACAAGTTCACCATCTCCTCCGGAGAGCAGTCGAGAATACCGTGTGCTTGGAGGCAGCCGTTGGCTGTGATTCGTAAAACCTCAACTACGAACTTCAAACGCGAAGCACGAGAACTTGGACGTGAGAGCAGGTGCCACACGCATAGCAAGTTTACCCTGGTGACGAGAACCACAAGTAGGCTACCCTCTCCAATTAAAAGCCGCGAAAAGCCCAATCAGGCAAACGATAAAACACGGCTACAACTCATAGATGTTAATGGTCTGACTTAAAACTGTTGACGAGACAGCACAAAACAGATTATTTTGTGGACGAAACTTGCAGACGTCACGAATCGTCAAGTGACATGTTACGAGGAGTCGCAGTTGCCTTGGCCGTGACGGTCCTCTGGGTGTCGGGGGGCTTTCGCGGCCTGGTCTCGGCGCAGAGGGACAGTCGAGCTTCGCTGGAGCTTGTGGACGGGGGCTACGTGAATCTGCTGATCGGCATCAGTGACAGGGTTCCCAACAATCCAGCTCTGCTAGACCGCATAATGTTTGTCTTCACCGAAGCTTCCAAATTCCTGTTTCAAGCTACCAAGTAAGTTGAAGCATTGAGCAAGGAAACCTTTTTTTCCGCAAAGATTTTAAGAATTAGTCTTCAAGAAAAATATCTTTTCTGACTACTTATCAAATCTCTCTTTCGTTATTTTTTTTCTTTTGTTTTTGTCCAATTACACATTTATTTGTAGCCCATTATTATCTTGAGTGTCCCTCTGCCCCCACAATGGCCGACTTCCAGTAATTTATAAAAAAAAATTGGCTTAGGTAAAATTTATCGTCACAATGAAACTTCGGAATGTTCACGACTTTGAAGATATATGTATACCCATAATGAAACCACGTTTGCTTTTCATGCATTTTGTTCGCTATGTTTCTAGTAATAAAACCACTCAATTGAACTCCAAACAAGAATGTTACCCGTTGAAGCTCAGTGTACTCCTTACGAGAAACTGAAAAACCACGCACCACCTTTTGATCACAAAACACGATTTCGTTAATAGCACTAATTATCCCCCAAATCGTTCAGTGACTGATCATTGGAAATCAACTACATTTCTTGAAAAAAAATTTCAAAAAGACAGCAAACCTGACGAGCTATTTAGAATCAGTACGATCTTTAACCCAAGTAGTTTTTTTGATAAAATATAATATATGAAACTTTGTGAAATTCCCATAATTATGTAGTCTATGCACAGCAAGAGTCTATGATCAGGGGCGTAAATTCCGGGGGGGGGGGCCAGACACACACACTTTTTGACCAGGCGGGATGGGCTATTTAATCATTCCTCCCCCTCCTCAATCTTTCGTGATGAGAAAAAATGCGAATTTCGAGGTATTTTTCGAAGATCCCAACAACCAAAATTTGTTCAAAAGCACTGAAAAGTGGACTCCGAGAAACAAAGTACAAAAGCTTTTGAAATGCGCGATTATACATATTGATATTCATCTATATCCTGAAAAGCGCCCCATTTGTGTAATGGGTGTCCAGCCCGCCCCCCCCCCCTTCGAATCTTTACGGCCGGGTATTTTTGGGTTTTGGTCATCCCCCATTCCCCCCCCCCCCCACCCCACCCCACTCACCGGCACGGATTTACGCCACTGTCTATGATAAATTATGCGAGCAGATTAGAAAAACAAGACTGCGTCTTGACCTCGAGATTTTGACCATCTAGTGAGCGCCTTTTATCGGGTATTCCGTAACCCATTGCCGTATTACAAAATCCATGCATGCAAATTGACCAATCAACAGCTTTGTCCACATTTTTTTGATCGAATGACGCCACAGTTTGTTAAGACTAATTCGATTGGCTGGAGCGCGGGGTCGCATACAATTTACACGATAGACGTTAATTCGCACGGTGGCTCTATACGTGAATGTCTGATCATGCTTACACTATATAGCTGAAATGTTGTGTAGCGTAAAATGTTGCGGAACTCGCCCAATGAATTGTGGCGTAAGTGGACTTAGGCCCTACGCCACAGACAGTTTTAATAATTATAATTATATGTGTGCATGCGCATAAATGGTCTTGAGGCAATAATTTTATGCGAAAGCGGTCCATTGAAAATGTACAAGGGGTTTGCTTTTTTGTGAGAAAAGCCTCTAAAATCGTTATATGTAATAATGTTTTTGTTGCACGGCAATTTGGTGGTTGGTACCCCCAATCACACAGGTATTTTTTATTCACTCTAGCGGAAAAGTGGCCTGCTAATTTCCTTCGGCCTCATTGCGCACGGGAGGAAAGCAATTTATTAAGTCTTTATTTTGTGCATACAAAAAAAGACTTAGGCTGCATGGTATTACCTTTGACGATTTTAGAGGCTTCTCTGAAGAAGGAAAAAACGACAAATCTTTGAACAATTTAGAAATAATGACTAGAATGTTTGTACCATTGAACATTTTCAATGGACCGCTTTACCTTCTTGCCTCAAGGTCCACACATGCATAAATTATCATTTATTATAGTGAAAAGGTCAATTGCGTATTAAAAGTCGTGAAATTGGAAGCTGCAGACAGCAGACGCACCATACCACCGCACACGCATCGTATGCATAATTACCGTATTGTGTCAGTGTGTTGGTACCGCGCTGAAACAGTTCCCTTATATATAGTTGTATAGTACCTGGTGGCCTAACACTTCAGGGAAACGTACGTTTCCTCTTTATTGTTTTTCTTCTGGAAATTTTAGTGTTTTATACATTATGTTAAAAGCGATTGTGCAACATGTTGTTTCCTTTAATCACTTCGACACTACATTTTACATATTTCCTTATCAGGCATTCTGTAGCCATTTCCTTGTCCTCTGTCAAATTGGACACATTAAACCTTCTTCTTTGTTTAAATTAAGGCAAGAAAAGAGATTCATGTATTCCAAATTTGTCTCACAAGGTTAAAAAAAAACATTGCTCAATGTCGAAAAAACAAAAGTGATATAGAATTGTGGATCACAAAAACGGACGACAGACTAAAAAAACATATAGATAATGTTTGAGGGATCACGTAATGTGTTGTTCTGTTTGCGGAGAAAATACAGGGACATGCCCGTTTTCTATTGCACAACAGACCTCAGGTTCAGAATACAAGGCCAAATTTGTGCGCGCTCTTTCATGCTCTATACTTAAAGGTACAGTAGACCATTTGCAGCTATCCAAATTGACAAGTAATCGACCAAATTATTGTCAAAAAGCTTACTTGGTTTAAAGATAGTAACAGGGGGCGGCGGAACCGGGGGGGCTGGGGGGCACTCCCCCCCCCCCCCCCCCATTTTCCCAGGCCAACAAAAGTGCCCCTCTCGTGGTCATAATGTGCCCCCTCGAGATGAAAATAAAACTCCCCCTCAAACGCACACATGAAAGCAATATGATCGCGCTTAAAAATGTTCTCTCTTGTGCGAAAGTGCAGGCTCAATAACACAAATACCCAATGTGCATTCACCAGATTGTGCTCCTCTCGAGATGGAAAACTGCCCCTCGAAAGCACAATAGTGCCCCGCTCTCAACATTAACACTGTGCTCCTCTCACGATGGAAAATTGACCGGTAAAAAAGAATAGTGCCTTCACACGAATAAAATGGTCATACTGGCCATCGAAGCAACAGCCCCTCTAAAAACAAATGGTCCCTTTGCATATGCCTAACTAGTCAAATTCAAGGGCGGACCCAGAGAGGTTACTGCTGGGCATGTGCCGGAGGCCGAAGGGCTCTCTCAAGTGAAAACTTACCTTATTTGAGAACAATCAACTATATTGAGACTATTGCAGGAATAGACACTGTAATTTTTGAGTAAGGGAATTAAGATTTTTTTTAAATAATTTTTAACTCAAACATTTTTAAAAGGGTATATCAATGTTATGTTGTTCCGGGTATCATGTATTCCCTGCAATATGAAAGAAAATAATTTCACAATTGTCTCCTTTTTCACACCGACTGAAGGTGCCCTTTTTTCTGAGGAAGTGCCCCTTTTTGGTGATGTCCCCCAGTTTGAACTGCGTTCCGCTGCCGCTGGATAGTAATGACACTAAACTCCCTGTAAAATGATTCCTTCTGTCATGCTGTCATTTTGAAGAAAATCAAAGGGCCGGGGTCAGCATGGTGTATGTTCGAACAGACTGAGACAATGTAAATGATGTTATGCAAACTGCGTTGGAAACCATCCAATCGAAATTTTGAAACTATCGAAATCTTTCATGAAAATTTATGAGTCAATTCACAAAACTGGCCCCCTCTTTCTGGATAACATGTATCACGTTTCCCGATCGGAATAGACATTGCTTATTTACCTTCCAAAAGCGTCCTGTCTTTTGTGTCATGTTGATATAAAATAAAATCCGGCAGTTTTTCAATTTATTTCCTGTACGATGCCTGTAGAGATAAACATGCGTGGAGTATGCGAGCTCGGAGGTACTAATCAAATTGCGGTAGGCGGGAAGTGGTTTCTGTACGATGAGCTGAACTTTGCTATTCATTGATAAGGTTGTGACCTAAACATCCACTGAAAAAAAGTAGGTAGATTTTCCAATAAACTTCAAGCTGATTTAGGCCTGTATGATAATTTCTTAACACCCAGTCCCCAAAAGGAAAACATTCACTCCTGATTGACGATTGCTGCGCACGTTCACTTTATGATGTGAGGGCCACTTGTTTATGTTTATTTTAATGCGCTTATCCTTATTTTGATCCCGTACAAGGTTTTACAATTTTGCGGTGGAAATATTGTTCTTCGAATTCTTTTTGCCTTTGCAGCAGTGGAATGGGAACCAGACAATGGAACTTCAATTTAAAGAGTAATCTTAAATGTATATATTGCCGAAAATGTGATAGATCCTCCAGATGTGTGGATTCTTCTCTTGTCTGAACTCTAGTAAAAATGTATACTTATAGTCTGCTGACTGTGAGGTTCATTACCGTTTGATAACATTAACAAGAGAGGGATGATTTTGTCTACTAAGGTGTTGTTAGAAAATGAATTGAAGGCTTTTGTCATTTAAGTACTGCGTCGAGAGTCTAGGTAAAAACTTGAAATGATACTTAGCTTGTTACGGACTAATATCGTGGTATTAAACAAGGGGAAGAATATTAGCAAACTCCATCTATTTGATGGTTCCTTTCAGGAAGCGTGCCTACTTTAAAGACATTCACATCCTGGTTCCGGAGAGTTGGGAAGACTCGGCAGAGTATTCCATCGTTACTTGGCAGCGCTTCGACCAAAGTGACGTCCTCGTCGACTTCTCGGGAGCGAATAAGACAAACCTTCCGTACACGAACAGATCAACACCGTACACGAACAAGGCAACACCATGCGGAGAACCCGGGCAATTCATTCATCTAACTCCGGAATACATACTATCGCAGAGTATTGCAAACCCCTATGGACCTTATGACAAGGTGGGGGGAGGTTCTTAGGCCAAAAAAAAAAGTCTCCGGTTTCTGGTATGGAGCTTGCCCAAAAAGTGGTGCGGCGACGCGGCTTTTTTTTTTTTTTACCTGATTGTTTTGCTTCAAATGTCGGCTGATGACTGCAAATGGTGCCCGACTAAACTTAGTGCAAATATATGGGAGTCCAGAGAGGCCACATAAAGCTTATTATCGACCATAGCCCAATCTAAAAACACGTTAAAATTGTGCAGCAGCAGGATTCTAGTCAAACCAGTGAGTTTGGCGGTTTTGAGACATCATCTTACATTGAAAAAAAAACTTTTTCATTTTGCCGACGCGCATGGCTACGGCGACGCGCGCGCATACCAGAAACTGGAGACTTTTTTTGTGGCCTTATCATAATTACGATATTTTTCCCCTTCATCTTAAAAAAAAAACCTTTGTTAAATTTACTTCGATATTTGGGTAGTTGCTCACTGGATAGTCCTTTTTTGACACATTTTACATAAAGTGCGATTTGAAGCGTTATGGTGGAGAGTAGACCGGTATAGGCCTACGCATTTGGAAAAGGTTGAAGAGTAGAAAAATCTATATTAAAAGGGAGTGGTTCTACAAAGAAGAACCAGAGGTGTTCAGTCGACGTTCCGGTCAGTTTGCTACGACCGTCACACATTTGCACGTTATTTAGGAAATAAAAGTATGAGTAGCTAATCTTGCAACATATCCGACGTGACAGTCCCTAAACTCAATGGACAGCTCAATTGAAATGGCTATAAGTCGTTTTGGGTCAAGTTGTCACCAAGTTAAGAATGTGGCGATGTATAGGGTCTGAGGTTGAACCCAGCCGGGATATAGTTCTTCTTGTGTTCTTGAACATGACAGTTCGTTGCAATGGCTTCCAACGTGAAGGTCATTATTGGTATCCAATGAAAGTTTGTTGAGCTGCACACGATTGTCGGTCGCGAGTAAATAAAGGTGTCTACGATTAAAAAAAGAAGGCAAGACTCTAACTGAACAAATATAAGTCCTTTAAAATTGAAGATATTTTTTGCTGTTTTTCTTCTTCTCTTTCTATTTCTTTTAACTTTTTAAAAAGTTGTCTTTCATCTTTCAAGTGTGACAAAGTAAAAAGAAATGGATATTGAATGACTCCGTCAACTTTGTCATTTATACGTCCGATAACCGGCCGCCGCGCGAGGGCGTTATCACGACCAACCAATATCGCCCACGAGCCTGTCAGAACAACGTCTAGGGTAGCAGACCAGTAAATAAACTTCCATAGACCCCAATGGTAAATGCTCCCACTTCAAAAATTCGGGAAAAATACTCACAACTCTCCAAGGTGTTCGAGACACACATCAAATTAAAGCTTATTTCATCATCTTTCATTTTCTTTTCAATTTTTGGGGGATCAACTGATGACTTTTAGGAGAAATTTCCATCTGAAGATGATCAACCCTGAAAATAGTCCTGAAGCCCATCGCCATTTTGAAAAACGATGCCTACACTCCATTGCAAAGTAGAGCGCTTTTAGGGTCCAAATTACATCAAAATTACACAGAACTGCAAGCTCCCAGTCCTGTGCACGGTTTCCACCCATATTTTTTACAAACCCTCAAGTTCATGGCCCACAGCATGCTCAAATACCGAAGATTTTGAGGGCATTCAAATCGTGATTTGGCCGGCGCAGGCAATTTCGGACCGATTTACTGGTCTGCACCCCTAAAGCACTTGCTATTGGTTGTGTAATGCGCGCGCAACTGTTTGGCCTAATATATGTAGCGCGCAATTTGAAAAATTCATAAGCAGTTCCGAAGCAAACTCTCAAATTTCTTCCAGTAGGTTAAAAAGGTGCAGCAAGACTTTTGTGCAGTTTCACTGGTCAGCTCTTTTGTCGTGTGTAGTATGTGTGGGACTGAAAATGGACCGCAATTGCCTGCAGAAGTCGCGCATGCCCACTTATTTCCCCCATTTTTCAGGGGGAGATTTTAGCAAGTGCTCTAGACGTTGTTCTGACAGGTTAGTGGGCGATATTGGTTGGTCGTGATAGCGCCCTCGCGCGGCGGCCGGTTATCGCGGCGGCGCGGCGGGCTATCGCGCACAAACAATAATAACGTCTAGCCTCTAGACTAGCCGCCGGCACCATCCCAACTGGGACCCTGCTCTGCCAAACAACGGCCGGGGAGGAGTTACCATCAAGATGACCATAGAGCCGCGGTTGACAACATGGATTTAGGCAAAGGAGTAGGCAAAGAACGGATGGGGAGACATAATTTCACGTCAAGTATAAAAGTTAAACAAAGTTAAAAGTGGCAAATTTTAATAGTATCAAATATGTTAGACCTGGGCAGCTCTATAATACATTAAGTAATATACATGTACATGGACCAACAGCTAGTTCGACTAGTAACGCAGTTTTGCTGAGCAATGTGTTGATAAGTAGATTTCTGTAGCCCGCTGTCCGCACGGGTCATAATTTGGTTAAGTTGACAACAGTCTCCGTGAAGTTGACAACCGTCTCCGTTAGTTTTATAAAAAAAAAAAAAGTCCCGGAGCGAACACGGCTTTAGTGTGAATTACTGATGGGTCCAACTTCGCGGGCGCACTCATGATGTTTTTTATTTACCTTTGATGTGAACAATAATTCACCGTTCGGCCTATGTGTACACAAAAACAATGTGGGGTACCAACGAAATTAGAGGACGGTTCTTGCGCCGAAGTATGCACCAAATTCTTACAGCTTTGGACTGCGTTATGTTTTACAGTGAATGCTCTAGTTTCTCAAAATCTGGTTTGTCAAAAATCTATTAGCTATTTTTATGACATAGCTAAAAGAAATTGCTGTATTTATCCCGTAGCATTTATTTACCCTTACATAAAGCTGTATTAATCCCGCATTGTATTTATCCCGTATACTGCTGTATCTATCCTGTAGTGAAAGCGTCACATCCTTATACACACATGCACAGTTGCCCGTAATGTATACTGGCTTTATTATGCATGCATCGACTGATTAATTAAATGTTGCCATCACTTTTTAATAATTTTATTTTTTTGTAAACTGTAATGCTTCTTTCTTTTTCTTCTTCTTCTTCTTTTTTTTTCATAACAACTGCTTATTTGTAGTTCACTGTAGCTTAGTCTCAAAGTCAGGAAAAATGCTTTCCAAAAATAGAAAATGTGTCTGAAAATCTCGTTTCATGGTGACGGAAGTTATTGAAAAAAAAAATATCGGTGCGTGTTCCATTGTGCACTTTTAACTAACAGTGAAGATGAACCACTATATTTTAGTTACACAGGATGTCTAAAAAAAAAGATACCCATTATTAAATGTAAATGCTCAGACGTCCATGAATATGACGTAATGAACTTAATATCATTGGGTAGAGGACATCCGGTGTTTTTTTTTCTATAATAGCCTCTTTCTTTCTGAATTATTCAGTACATTTCCGACAACTTCATTTAAAAATGGGTATCCTTTTTTAGACAGCCTGTAGAACTAGCTAGAAATCTTGGCTTCCATTCTACCATACCACTGTGCTTTACATGCAGTCTACAACTTCCGTACAACGTCCGGTGACACGGTCTCACTTCTCCGGCGTGCTAGCTTCTCCGGGTGGATTCGGCGGATAATTGAGCACGTTACAGTGCACGTTACATGAGCACGATTCATGCTCATGTGTCCACTGTGCTTACTTTTCCTAGGGCTGTTGAAGTCTACCAAGCCCATTAATAACACAGTGAAGGGCACCCAAGAATGTGTTATGTAACACTTCATGTGAGTCAAGTCATTCCGTGGTCTTGCAAGCATTCTGATTTGTGTTCCGAGCGTCATGCATGTGTGTGTGTTCATGGAACCATGGAGCAAGGAAAACGTGCTCCATGATGGAACGAACTCCTTGGTCCGTGTTCCTTGCTCGTTCGTGGTCCATTTTGTCTTTATTATTGCAACCATGGCTTAAAATAAACGTGCATTTCAAGTCTTTTTTGTTATTGGGAGTTAATAGTGGATTGGACTGATACCCTGTAACCATTCATACAAATAAGATCTTACGTGCACAAGTACAACCCCGAGGAATTCGGCACACTAATACAGTGACGAAAATGTACACTACTGCGCAATTTTGTGCATGCGTGTTGAAGCGAAATTTTCCTTTTGGAGAAGCTAGCACGCCGGAGAAGCGAGACCGTGACACCGGTTCGCGATTTTTTTTTTCCATACCACATACCACATACTATAGAATTATGCTGGGAGGCCCTATATATGCAATAAAATAACGTTTAAAATTACCACATCGATCGTGTCACTGCTGTAGTGTCATGGATACTACATTGGATTACAAACCCGATGGTGTGAGTTCGATTACCATTGGATGCTATCTTTTTAAATTTCTTCTTCTTTACTTCTTTTTTTTTCTCTTAAAAATGTTTGATAGTCATTTTGGAACATTTTTTATGTTACCAATATGTGGTTTGGAGGATTTTTTTTGAATAAGTCCGAGAACCTGACTTGTAACTCAAAGTGCTTCAATATACGCCCAACTGAAAGCGAATACGTGGTGTGGAAAAAAATCGCGTCCGGTTCGCTAGCGATGTCGTGCTCGATTAAATAATGTTCCCATAATAGGCCGGTTGAGGGAAAATTCTTTGGGAACTTTTTTTTCTCAGAAACGTTTTGGAAATCCAGGCCAAATCAATCCAAACAAAACTAATAACCTTTCAAGGCGAGCCCTTGGTCTACCTAATCTGTTGCGCACATTCTTTTGTTAACCCTGGACAAAGGCCTTTTGTGGCTTGGTTTGGTCATCTAAGGCTCTATACCAGTAGGCTCTATACCAGTAGCAATAACAGACAGATCTAAAGATCGCGGGGAAAGTTTATAATAGGTCTACTTTTGGAAGTATGATGTCATCACCCACTCTGAATATGTACCAGCTTGCGCATGATAATATCGACCGATGTGTATACAGAGAGCTCAGTGAACCATTCACGGTACAGGCTTGCTGGGAACACACGCTCAGACACGATCACGCAGTAAGTTACAACTTACAAGTTAAATGTCTTCTCTGGAGAACAGTCCAGAATACCTTGTTGTGGAAGACAGCCGTCGGCTGTGATATCTGTAAAACCTATACGAACTTGGACACGAGAGCGCGTGCCAAACGCATGACAAGTTTACCGTGGCGACGAAAACCACAAGTCAAGTTTACCCACTCCAATTAAACAGCTGTGAAAAAATCAAGACAGGCAAACAATAATAAACGGCCATACCAATAAATTAATGGTCTAACTAAACAAACTTGCAGTCGTCACGATTTCTGAACTTTCGCACTCATTATAGTTTGAAGAGGCAGACTCTTTTGAACGTCAGGACTTCAACAACTTTTGTTCATTTTGAAGGCTTATTCATCGGTGGTAAGTAGGCCTAAAGTGACATGTTACGAGGAGTTACTGTTGCCTTGGCCGTGACGGTCCTCTGGGTGTCGGGGGGCTTTCGCGGCCTGGTCTCGGCGGAGAGGGACAGCCGAGCTTCGCTAGAGCTTGTGGATGGGGGCTACGTGAATCTGCTGATCGGAATAAGCGACAGGGTTCCTAGCAATCCAGCCCTGCTAGACCGCATAAAGTTCGTCTTCACCGAAGCTTCCAAATTCCTGTTTCAAGCTACCAAGTAAGTTGAAGCGTTGGGCAAGGAAAAATCCCTTTCCCGTATATAGATTTCAGTCATTTGTCTTCAAGGGAAATATCAATTCGTTTCTTCTGAAGTTGTGAATCTCTGCTGGTTTTTTTCTCGTTTCTTTTCAGTTTGTCCGTCTACACATTTCTTTGTATCTCCATTTAATATCTTGAGTGTCTTTCAGCCCTGTAAGGGCGACTTCCATTTAAAATCAAAAAGCGAATTCGCTTGGGTCAAAGCGATCGTCACAATAAACTTTGGATGTTGCTGTCATTGAATTCGATTCGCTTTCGTGTGGTGTGAACTGGCCTAAAGTATAAACGACGAAAAACTATTTTCTGTAATGGAGGAAACGTATCCTCCATATGCCGCCATTGCTGCATGCAAATAATGTGAAAGAAAAACCACAAAATCGGGGCTGAGAAATCTCGGGGGAAAAATGATCGGCGGAACAAGGAGCCTGTTAAAGCCATAAAAAGAAAAGATCACTTTATCCGGGAATATTTTTTAAAGAAACACATTATGTTCATGCATTATACATTGTTAAAATTGTGACTCCCAAAAGCCTTCGTGCACAAGCAACAAAGTGGCTGTTAATGCGTACTCTCTAAATTCCAACGGACAATAGTCTGAGACGACAAACAAGTTGTTGTTTACAGTTAGGACCTCGAGGGTCTGCAATGCAACAATAACTCCTTAACAAACAGACCATCAAGAGGCAGTTGAAAACACACAACAAGGTTTGCTGTTTGCTTTTTTTGTTATATAGTCATGGTCTTCTATGGGTTGAGGTTAAATTAGCCCCATAAATGTGGCCTATTTACTGGACTGCCTCCGTAAACATAGGCCACACATCCACATGTACAAAAATCGTGTTGACTTTGCCAAATTTTGATTTTCACATTTAGGCTTACTTTGTAGGGTTTTTTTTGCTTTAGAAGCATTCTCACCCTCTATATAGGCTAATCAGAAAGTGCTGCCTTTTTCAGATGTATATTTTTCGTGAAATTTCCAGATTCATTTTTACACGTTTGCGTATCAAAATTTCAACATGAAATTTCACAAAAATTAGACATCTGAAAAAGGCAGCACTTTCTGACTAGCCTATAAAGAGGGTGAGTATGCTTCTAAAGCAAAACAATCCTACAAACTAAGCCTAAATGTGAAAATCAAAATTTGGCAAAGTCGACACGATTTTTGTACATGTGGATGTGTGGCCTATGTTTACGGAGGCAGTCCAGTAAATAGGCCACATTTATGGGGCTAAGGTTAAATGTGGTCCAATGGTTACAGTGTTCGACTCGTGTGCCGTGGTGCATGGGTTCGAATCCTGACTGTGGGAACATGGTGCTTGTGCTACTGAGCAAGGCACTTTACCATTATTGCTTCGTCCTTCGGATGGGACGTAAAGCCGTAGGTCCCGTGTGTTGTGTAATGCACGTTAAAGAACCCAGTAACACATCGCTAAGAGAAGGGGTTTGCCCCGGTGTTTCTGGCAGTGGCTGCAATGTGCGCCGCAGCATCTTGTAAACCATTATAAGGTGCTACAATGGGTCTCATCATAAACTTTATTTACCTTTCTTTAATAATTGACATAATTTCCAGCGCCTTGAGTACCAAATTGTTGGTAGATACGTGCGCTATATAAGACTCCGTTATTATTATTATTAAATACAAAAACTATAAATTTGTGAGGGTTAAATTGTCTATAAGCAGGGGCGCATCACGATTTCAGGAAACGGGGCTGGGCTGGGGGTGGGGGTATATAAAGGGGGGTTGACTCAAAGGTGTGTCGAAAGCACGCACGGCTGGGAGTGAAAGACGGGACCGCGGCATGCCCCCCCCCTCCCCTTGGAAAATATAGGCCACAATGAAAAAAAATTCTGCATTCTAAGGTAATTCAAGAATTCACTGAGGAACATTTAGCATTCCATTTATTGTTTTTACTACTTTCATAACATTAGTATAATCAGCGGCTGAACAGGGTAACACCCACCCCTCTAGAAATCCGCTACTGATAAGGTTTTGAAGTGTTAAAGCGGAGTTTCTCTTATTTGACTGAAATTTTCAGGTAAGTGCATCGGCTCTCGCCAGGCTCCAGACGCGTAATGCAGCCCGTAGCCTTTCACCAAGGCCGTCGTGGCTTAACTTGCCAAGCGGCGAAAACGCGAAGCGACTGGAGATGGAGACCACACACGCGAGTGGCGAAGCCACGAGGGCCTTTTCTAACTTGTCGAGAAACTCTTATGGTTTTCTTTATAATCTCAATTTTTGCTACCCCAAAAGGGTAGCAAAATTCCAACCAATCATCGGCCTTTTAGTGCGTGTGTGGCTACTACCCGGACGCGTCGACGTGCCCGGATGCTTGCACAAAATTTAAAAACAAAAAATGCGAGTCTAGTTTTCCACGAGATCGTGGAAAAAATTTTACTTATAAAAGTATTTCAAGAAATTATTTGAGTGTATGAACTTATTTTTCTTCTGAACTTACATTAATTTGCTGGTGCGAATAGTCACGCTCCCAAAAACTAGCTTTTAAAAGTACTATCACAAAGACAGTTTACCGTATGTATCCAAAATATCTGCATGTGTCTATTAAAACAAGCCCATTTTAGACATGCAGATAAAATTAAATGTCCACTTACAAGTGCCACATGAAATGTTCTCCAAAAGTAGTATAAATGCGTACAACCTCAAAGCTTACGAATTTCACTTTTGCCACAAATTGAAAGATCAAATTTCCCCAAAAGTTCAGTATAAACACGCGATCATTCCTTTCTGTTTTTTATTTAATTGACCACGATGAGCATTTTACACATTTGTGTTGATGTATTGCTTTCGTTTCCGCATAACAAGTATCGGGAAGGCTCGAGCTCGAGCAAGCGCAGCATCATGTGCATTTCTTAATAACAATTTCGTAAATGACTAAAAAAAAATCAGTTTAGATTTTAGTTGGAGGCCGGGGGTCACGCCATCATTTTCAAACGGGGACAAGGCCAATTACGTTTTCCTTACTCACCCTTCTTTTAAAAATGGAAGTGACTAGGCAAAATCCGCGTTGTGGTTGGTTAACCTTCAGCACTCTTCTTATTTGCATAAAAACTATGAATAATTCAAGAAAATCAAGTAGGGAAAGACCTCGTGGCTTTGCCACTCGTGCGTGCTGACTTAATCTTTACTCCAGTCGCTTCGGGTCTTCGCAACTCCGCCGCTCTAAGCCACGATGGCCTGGGCGAAAGGCTATGCAGCCCGTTGCCTCGATGCTTGTATGCATGTGTATTTATTTAACTCATGTTGTTAAACAGAAACACCATCAGTGCTGATTGAACGATAGTGACACTTACTATTTTGCACTTGCTGGTTTTATTAGAGATTCCACGAATGCCAGCGATCGAAACGGAATTACAGCGCCCCAATTTAGCTCTGTTTGAATATTTTATCGGCCGTTTATTATTCCAAGACCTTTCAAAAGACAAGAAAACATTTAAGGACACAACACTTTCGGCGACTTGCTGGGTGGAGTTCACCTTTTAGATTTAAATTGTCCTTTGTACACATTAAAATAAGTTTCTCGAAAAAGAGCGAATGCTCTCTAAATTCCAAAGAGTGAATTTAGGGACTAGACGTTCTAGTCCCTGCTTTCCGACTGTGGGATTGAATCTTCACTCTCGAATGGAGTGAATTTTCACTCTTTGGAATTTAGAGAGTGTGCATAGTTTACGAAGCCAGTTTCGTTTTTAGCAAGCTGAGCTTAGCACATGATTCGGATATTCGAACTTCCGTCAACCCAGTACAATATTCCATTCAGTTTCGCATTTGCAGCGCAGGGCAATTATTTCGATGATTTGTACTTGGGCTATCCGTATTCAGTAGCAAAAGGCTGTGCTGTCGGTCCAGGCAGAAACCTTAGGTTTAACAACTATTTCAGCACCGGAATCTGCCATGATTTTGGATATTTTACCGTCGTAAATTATCTTTTCTTTGGTGATTCGTTGACGTACCAGTACATGGCAGCAGGCCTAAGCCATTGAGCAAACTTTTTTTCAATTGTTTTCAATCAGCAATTTTTTTGGTTCACAATTTGAACACATAACCGCTAAACCGACTAGTGCCTTCCTGAAATAACATCACAGCAACATCGCCTTCGGTTGTCCGGAAAAGCATGGACAATTCAATGTTAAAAAATGTACCTTTCAATAAAATTAACCAAAACGGGATGTCAAATAGTTTTCATACATTTTAGAGGAGTAGAAAGTCGCAAAAATGTGTTCCTAAGAAAAATTCATCTCATGGACCCTTTGAGAAATGACTTTTCCCTTGCCGTCGTCGCGCCAGAATCAGTGTCAAGTCCTGGCCTTGTTTTCTTAAGTCCCGGGTTAGCTCGGAAATGAACGAGCAGTACCAAGCAAGATGGAGTTTATGTCCATACTTTAAGCCTCCTATGGTTTACTGGTACTGTACCATGTATATGGGTTCAAAAACTGAAACCCCTATAAATGTACTTCACAAACGACTGAGTGAAGTTATGATAATGGAGATCTGCAAGTCACGCCGTTTTCGCCACACTGCAGTCGATCTCCATATGGAGCTAGATTTATTGAAAACCTTTCTTTGGAACTGAAAGGCGTAGGCGGACAGTGCAATTGTACATGTATGGCAGACTATGAAATGAACAAAGTAGGCTTTCTTCAATCTAAAATATACGTCAACAAACTCTGACCAAGTTGATTCTCACTTACAAAAAAAACACGCGTAATGGGAAAATCAGTCAGACAATATCAGTGGTTTTTATCGGTGAACTTTCCCCTAGAAGCTGACGAGAGACGTGGACAATGAACATCCGGTGTATTCAATTTCAAAACGTCAATTCTTTGATTTACTTTTAATAGATACATGCATCATCGTGGACTCCAATAGTTTCTTTTCTTTATATGGTCATGGTAAAATTTTGTCATTTATACTAACATGGCTACATGTATATGTTAAAAAGCGATTGTGCAACATGTATTTCCTCAATCACTTTGACATAAAGATAAAGGGCCAAAGCATGTTTGCATAATTTCCTTCATAAGCGTTCAACAGCCATTTCTTTGTTGCAAAAACGAAACAGAAATTGTTTTAAATCACAGAAACCGAAGTTGAAAAGCACATCGACATGATTTGGGGGACACGTAATGTATTGTTCCGTTCGCAGAAGAAAATACAGGGACAGGCCCGTGTTCAATTGCACAACAATAATGAGTCGGATTCAGAACACAAGGCCAAGTTTGTTTGCGCACTTTCATGCTCCGCTTAACTCGACGGACTCCATTCCCTCGACGGTGTAGCTATATTCATCCGCGGGTCCTCACTATACTATATGTTAACCCCCTCCGGTAAATAATCTGAGATATAATTGTTTTGTTCATGCACCTATTGCAAAGTTCGCACGATCTCAAATGTTTCAATACCAAAATAATGTTCATTTATACACTCAACCAAAACAATTAGAAATTCCCCCTCCCATACTTTTTTTGTCTAACTCAAAAACTACTGAGCACCTCTCGCTCAACCAGTACAGAAATTCCTTCGCAATCCAGCCATACGCTCTATTTGGCCCACAACAGTGATAATGTGTACGAATTTATGCAATTTATGACAAATGATACCAAAAACAGTTGCACTGATGTATACGTTTACCTTGTTGTTCACACTCACCTTGCACGTATAAAAAAGTGCAACTTTCTTTTCGGTACCACTTGTCATAAATTGCATAATTTCGTGCACATTATCACTGTTTTTGGGCCAAACAAAGAGTATGGCTGGATTGTTAAGGAATTTCTGCACTGATCAGTCGTAATTTGAGCAAGATGTTCACAGTAGTTTTTTAGTTAGACAAAAAAGTATTAGGCCTAAGGGGGTTTTCTTTTTTGGTTGAGTGTATGCTCATTGCTCATAACATAGTCTCAGCCTCTTACTCAAAAACCACTATGCCTAAAGTTCAGAGTCTGTTAGAAACATTATGTGTCCAGCTAGACTCTTTTTATATACATGTTAGTTAAGTTCCTTTATTTCATGGTCGAAGTACCACAGAGCATAAACAGATTTTAGTAGCAAAGTACCTTTTATTAACTCACCTCCCCTTGTTAAATTTGGTATCGAAAAGTATACATGTACTTCCATATTTAGTCAAATATCAGTCTGGCTCTTTGATAATCAAATTGTGTAAGTAATTGAATGGACAGGTGTCAGTTGAGCGGTTTCTATTATTAGTTCCGAATTTGGCGCAAACGATGCGTCATCGTGAAATAATAATAACTCGTACAATGCAGCATTTCTGTGTATTTAAAACGTCATGCAAAACTCGAAGTGCAAATAAAAGGAAGTGTCAGTTGGTTTTCCCCTAAGGCCTAATTTTTGTTCATGATGATTTTTTTTAAAGTGAAATTTACGATAAAGCTTCCCGTTTAACAACAGGAAGAAAAGAGGAATTAAGTTGCAAGGCGTTGTTGGTAAATAAAATTAAGGCTTTTGGCAATTTGGTAATGAAAACTTATATAGTAGAACCTTATTACCCCTCTATCGAGTTTATTAAAAAAAAAAAAACCTGAACTGATGTCAATTTGAAACCATATGTGAGACGGCCCTCCTGTTCATTACTGTAGGAATTTTTACTTTATAGCTTTCATCATAGGCAACACAGAACATCATACTGTTCCGTAAAAAAAATGTGTTACTTTGAATATGTTTTGGTGTTAGATTCAATAGAAATCGTTCAAATAAGCAGCCATGCCGAGGCTGTCATAGTCATTGTATAACATTGGGGACCACATCATTTTTAAGCTCTATATGTCAGCTTCTACATGTCACTCGGTCGGTCGGTCTGTCCCCGGAAAATTGACCTAAATTAATTGACTAATTGACCAAATTCCATGCCGTGGTCATGAAATGCACTCTTGAGAACGGTTTTCGAAACATCGATTTTGTTTCGATTGATGCGCATGCGCGTTTTGTTTTGGGGTGGTTTTTTTGGCATTTGTCCGTCCCTGAAAATTAAACAAAATAAGCCTGATAATTTAAAAAAAAAAAACGTATACACTGTACATGAACATGTAGCTACCAACTGTTAATTTTGGGGGGAAAAATCAATTAAATGTTTCACAAACATAGTTTGTAAGAATTCGGAAGAAAATGTTTATGAAAAGTTTGTGGAGGCAAAATATGTGCAGTAATGTTATAGTCACGTTGTATTCATCACGTATCGCTATAAATCTAGGTGTACATCTGAAGTATGGTGTTCCATATGTGCCATCGCCATCGCTTTTTTGCGTCTGTTAAACGCATGCATGATCATGTGCATGTATCCCAAGAATAACCTAACAATTTGTTATCAACATGCTTTTTTTGGTTAAAGATCGTTCTGCTATATAACACGCCGTGATTATTCCGCCTGGCTTGCTGTCATTTAAAAGAAATCAAGAAATGTAGTGGAACCCAGACGATCAGCCAATTGAATGATCGTTGAAAATAAAGAGTTACATTTACAAAAAGCTTGTGCATGGTTTTTCACAGGCAGCGTGCCTACTTCAAAGACATTCATATCCTGGTTCCGGAGAGTTGGGAAGACTCGACGGAGTATTCCAGCGTAGAGTGGCAGCGCTTCGACCAAAGTGACGTCATCGTCGACTTCTCCAGTGACGGACAGACAAACAACAACCGTCCGTACACGAACAAAGCAACCCCGTGCGGAGAACCCGGACAATATATTCATCTCACTCCGGACTACATACTCTCGCAGAGTACTGCACAGCCCTTTGGACCTTATGACAAGGTGATTTTTTTTTTGTTATCACATATTTCTGTACAATTTTTTTAAAATAATTTCTGTGTTTAATGCACTTCGATTTTTGGGTAGTTGCTCACTGGATAGTCCTAAGGTTTTTTTTAAATAATGTACATAAAGTGTGATTTGAAGCTTTACATTGTATACCGGTATAGAGAAGGCCTACGCCTTCGGAGAAGTTTGAGAACACTGTGAGTAACTCTCTATATGGAGGGAGTGATTCTATAAGAAGAACCAAAGAGTTGTTCTAAGAAGAACCAAAGGTGTTCAGTCGGCGTTTCAGTCAGCTTGCTCTGACCGTCACACATTTGCACATTATTTAGAGAATGAAAGTGTGAGTCTTACGTGGCAACCACGTGGCAACTCCGGGCCAATTGGGATGGCTAAGCCGTGTTTAAGGTATATTTTGAGTGGCAAGTTGTCATTTTTAAGAATGTCGTGATGTCTGAGCACAAAGTATGAGGTTGAACCCAGCCGGGATGTACATGTACATGTTGTTCCTCTTGTGTTCTTGAGCAGGATAATTCGTTAATTGATTCCAACCTGAAGGTCATTGTTGGTATCCTTTGAAACTTTGGTGAATAGTATACCATTAGCGCTCGCGAGTAATTAATTGTCTCTACGTTAAGACACTTAATTCACAAATAGCCTAGAAGACTTTTGATTTGAAGATATCCTTTGTTGTATTTCGTCTGTGTTTTTTTTTTCGTTTTTCAAGATGTCTAATTTCACAGGAGAAATAGTAAAAGAAAAAGGATATTGAATTGGAGAATACCGTTAACTTTGTCATTTTGTGTCGCAAAACAGATCAAGGTGTTATACAAGTCCTGTGAAATGCGTTAGAATTATTCTCACATTTTACAGTTAAAGCAGTACTGTGCTATTGTGTACAATTTTATACAGAAACTTGCTCCTCCATTTTTTGCAACTATTAATAACAATTAATTTCAATTTACAAATACTGCGCACAGACTCTTACCCACGAATGGGCGCACTACCGGTGGGGTGTGTTTGACGAATACCCGCTTCAGAACGGAGCTCATTTCTACGCTGCTTCCAATGGGGATATTGAGGCTGTCAGGTGTGTCTTAAAAATAACGGGTAAGTCGAAGCGTTCCTAACATTCACAGCAATTATCTGAATATTGAAGATTTTCCTGCGTAGATAATCAAGCACATGACCTAACTACAGACATAATTTACTTCATTATCATTTGCTCCCAGTAATCACTGGGCGTGCATGTAATGGATGGCACTGGAAGGTCCAGTTGATATTAACTTAACAATGAATGACGAATGACAAGTCACATATCTGTATAACAGTAACATAGTACGAGCTTTAATCACGGTTTAATCTTCATAAAACAAAACAAACAATAACAAATACTAATCAAGATTGCTAAAATTAAACAATGTAATATCAGTCCAGTCAGTGGTAAATTAGCTAGTAACATGTCCGAGTCTAGTCTTAGCCCAAGACGCTAGTGATCGATAGTGGATCGTGCACAGTGCGCCTAATGACACAACAATTAGACCAGCGCGCCTACTCGCACTAACGTCTTGGCCATTCGTATCAGCGGTTTAACTTTTTCTTTATTTTCTCCCTACGCTTTCCTAGGGAACCAATGTGTGGGTTCCATCTACAATGTTCGTGTGTTAAAATCCACACACATTTTTTCATGTCTCTTTTACACACATTTCCCCCAATAAACTACACAAAATATAGTAATTATCCAACAACATAACTAAGGCCAAAAAAGAAAAGTCTCCAGTTTCTGGTATGCGCGCGCGTCGCCGTAGCCATGCGCGTCGGCAAAATGAAAAAAGTTTTTTTTTCAATGAAAGATGATGTCTCAAAACCGCCAAACTCACTGGTTTGACTGGAATCCTGCTACTGCACAATTTTAACGTGTTTTTAGATGGGGTTATGATCGAGAATAAGCTTTATGTGGCCTCTCTGGACTCCCATATATTTGCACTAAGTTTAGTCGGGCACCATTTGCAGTCATCAGCCGACATTTGAAGCAAAAAGTCAGGTGAAAAAAAAAAAGCCGCGTCGCCGCACCACTTTTTGGACAAGCTCCATACCAGAAACCGGAGACTTATTTTTTTTTGGCCTAAATGAGCTTGTTTTTTTAAATGTCTTAATATCAAAATATGTAGAATTAAAAACACTTACGACTTTGGGCTGTCCTAATGCATCAAATTCCTGTCAAAACATGTGACCCACAAATGTGACGTTTATCTAAACGTATGGACATACTGCCTGTGCTAACGGTGATACGCAATAGGGCCCTCTTTTAGCAAAAGAATGCATATGTGAAAGAAAATTTCACCTAATTAGCATGTAGCACATTACAAAAACGAAGCATTCTGACCTAACAGTGCAGTCTTGAATACAATGTGCCTTGACTTGCTCCATGATTTCATCGGCAAAATGAGTACTTGTCAATTATGTATTCACCCATCAATTGGAACGAGACCAACCAAGTCTGTTGAAGCTGGTCTCGGGCCACTTTGGTCTATGAGGTCTAAGTAGTCATCAGAGCCAAATTTTGGGGCCAAGGTGAGGCAAGTCTAATTACAACTGACAATCAGTCAGTGACTCAGGAACAAAGAGCCTCTCGGAACAGCCCCCCCCCCCCCCAAAAAAAATAATAACCCCACTTTTTTTCTACAGCCTGGATGTCTACGATACTATTTTCGCGGTACAATACGCGATACAAAGGACACGATACGATATGCACCAGCATGCATAATGTCCTGAACTTCAGTTGTCGCTGCAATCGGTGAATTTCATTTTCAGCTGCGGTTGAGAAGCTCAACAAGTCATCATGTCTCTCTGTTATTTGGTTCGTGGGTTAGTTGGTTAGTTATAACAAACTCAGCAACAGCCTTGCATGGCTATAAATCACCTCGTCTCCCAGTCTATACGTCTCCCTCGTCTCTCCCTCGTCTATACATGTGTATGTCAACTGCTCCCTAAGGCCCGCCCGGGCCCTCTGTTGTTCGCTTTAATGGGTCTCCACTGACCGCCTACCAGTTTATGCAGTCCTGAAAAATTGGGTCACGAGCTAGTCAAAAACCTGATGTTTGTACTGAAAACACTACTTCCAGAAATTACACGGCACAATCACGTCACACACTTAACACAATTGCGTTGACCCGCAGCTTCCGATATCATTTCGACCTTGTTTTAAATAGTTTTGGCTTATAAGAATTCAATTTACCTCACATCCACAGGTGGTCGGGTGCTCCCAAACACGCCAAACGCACCTTGCCAGGTAGACGAAACCGGGCTGCCTGAGCCTGCATGCCGGTTTCGGGATGACTTCGACGGTACAGATTACACCGGCTCCCTCATGTACAAGCAGTTCTTACCCGCGGTAATAAAACGAGCTCTCTTCCCTTCAATGGACCACTGAAAATGGATTTTTTTGTCAAATTCATTCAGATATGAAACTCATAAATTGCTTAATAGCTTTGGCTTTGCAATCATATTCCCCGTTTTTAAGCAAATTATGTTCGACACCAAGGCAAAGATTGCGTACATTAGTACATGTATCTTGCAGATGAGAGGTTCAGTGATTATGTCAACAACTCTGTCGTTCTATTCTGATTTACATCTTCTTTCCCTGGAGATTTCATACGCTTTATTATAATTTCTGTGTAACAGGCTTAACATTCTCATGAAACTTTTACGAATTTAGATTTCCACGTTTTGTGAGAACGCGGCCAACGGGGTACCGGAGGGGAACGAGCACAACAGGGAAGCACCCAACTTGCAAAACACAGAGTGCCAAGGCAAAAGCATATGGGAGGTACGTTTAAAGGGTACCAATTGCATGGCTCTGATCATGGAGCTATAAATAGCTCCATGCTCTGATTGAGGCATGCACTTATGTGCAACGCTCTGTGCTTGAATGCTTGCACAGAAATTGTGCAGATATCCATGTCCCAATTATAAGCGCATGGTGGCAAGCACAGATCAACTAATGCGGGAGGTATTCTAGAATAGTAACTGGATTTGCAGGCGGACAAGCTGAAAGTTGTTGCTAAACCCGTGAAATGCGCTTACCGTTGCCAAGAGAGTGTTCTGTTTTTGGCGGAGATTCGCATAGGGTTAGAACGTGCTGTTACACTGGACCTAGAAGTAAGTGCTGACAAAACTACACTCTAAATTTAACCCAGTGTTCAACTTTTGAATATATCATAAACGCTTTTTGGCAAAAAGGTCATGCGCCAACATCGCGACTTTGCTGCGGGTAAGGGCGAGAACGACGTCAACGGGTTCGGCGGGGGCGAGGAGGAGTTTGACGGCGAGCCCGTGCCTGAATTCACGGTGGTCAAGAAACGATCCAGCCGCATCGTTCTGGTTGTAGATACATCTGGCAGCATGAGTGGGCAGAGATTGCGTCAGCTCAAACAGGTATAAAATGACACCATCTCGCAGTCACTTATGAATTATGAATTGACTCGGTGAAGTATTGAGTGATAAATTGATGCATACACTTTAGTTCCAGAGCTGTGAAGGCCTACTTAAAAGTGTATCTTAGTCTGTTTTCTGCAGCAAATTTCTTCTCTATTTTTTTCTTTGTCAGGTCGCTTCTCACCATTAGAAATGAGATCACGGGCATTGAGGCCGGCTCACATTTCACGCGCATTTTCGGGCAAGGCGAATTTTGGAGTTTCAACCACCCCCCCCACCCAAAAATGTTTTTATTGCTATTCCAACGAACAAAAATTGAATGGAAACTCAAAAGAAAAAAATGCCCATACTTATAGTTATGGAATAAAATAACAGTTTCGATTCATTTCGATATACTTGCGACAATAATTAGGGCGAATCTTTTTGTGCATTCTTAGATGCACAAAAGCAACCCAACATTAAAAACCTTCAATGAGGGTTGCAGACGCCCAGAGAAGAGAACAATCGTGTCAAAATAGAAAAACAATTGCAAAACACGTTATGAGAATCAAAATCGAATGTGTTGAAGAGCCATTGTTCGGTCTTCAATTTCTCACGTTATGAAATTTGTTTCGCTTTTGTTCTATCGTGAACTCCGAATTGGCCCCAAATTTTCCCACATTAGTTTGTTTCTTGTCAGCTTTCTTCTGTTCTTCTTTCTAGACGGTGCAATCTCGAGTTGGTCTTTATATGTCGTAAATTTAGTTATTGCATTAAACATGTTGCTGTTTTCTTCCCGTGGTGTCTTGCAGGCAGCCGAAAGACTGATTACTGGAATTCTGGTGGAAGGAGAGATGCTTGGCCTTGTTGAATTTGCCAAAATGAGTGACATCTTGTCAGAGCTTCGAACCCTCAATGACGCGAACAGAGAGACACTCCTCTCAGAAATCAAGAGTCTTACTGCCGTTGGGGCGACTAGTATTGGAGCAGGTAGGCTACTCCATTGTGAAACAATTGTTTATTCCATTTAAAAGGCATTAAACAGTGTGTCCCTGAAAAAGCGGGCCCGGACATATCAGCTGCCATAATTAAAACAAATATTCATGAGATTAAATTTTGTTTGTGTTTTTTTTTCATGCTGTTGATGTTGTTTATTGCCCGTGGAAAAATAAACTGAATTGACCGAACACTTTAAAAGCCATGACTAGAAACGTAAGAGCTCCATAAAATTGAAATGTACACTTTTTGCGGCATTAGCTTGTTCTTGTTGTAAAGTAGTGGAGAGAGGGAGACCACGAACCTGTATCACACTCGAACACGTTCCACATGCAGACAAGAACAGACTATGTCTTTATTTCATAACACATGTATTTCTAATGTTCATAAATAAAATCGGATTCCGATAAAATTAAATTTGCCCCTTCAATATAATATTTCAACAGTGACATTCATTAAAAAGCCGCGAAATTCTGCACTATGAAAGTTTGATTGTTGTCGTGAAAATGTGTAAAATTTTATGTCGATTTTTTAAAGCGCTTACGTGTCTAGTCATAGCTTCAAAAGTGTTGAATCAACCCAGTGTATTTCTTCACAGACAATAAACAACATCAACAGCATGGAAAAACAAAACAAAATTTAGTCTGACATTAGATATTATGGCCGCTGATTTGTCCGGGCCCGCTTTTTTTTCTGAAACACACAGTATAGAAGCCCCTCCATAGAGGTAGTCAACTTATTCTTGGACTGCTCATTTAAAGCAAACCTTTTGCTGGAGACTATGAATTCCATAAGAATGTATTTTATGGAATTCATCAGACTATTGTTTCAAGTCCCAAGTTTAAAGTTCATTGCATTACTATAGGAATACCAATACCAAAAAACCCAAAAGAAATACGACTAAGCAAGCCTATAGTAAAGCTGGACCTAGACCAGACGAAGCCACAAATGACATTTAATCAGTGGGACAGATGCAATGAGAACACTAGGCTGGCCCTCTGTGAGCAGCATCTTTGCTGATCATCCCTTCTTTGACCCATGTGGTTCTTCATTGAACATCTTCCCTTTCGTAAGATAAGCATCTTCCCTTGTGGATGCTTTGAGATTAGGTCAACAAATTATCGGGATTTTTTAACCACTTTTAACCATTTTTTTTTGTGGAGGAGAAGATGGTGGTGTACGCAGTCTGCCTTTATTGCGACGTCACTTTAAAAAAAAATGGGCTCATTTTTCGGGGGAGCGGGGCATGGCCCCCGTTGGCCACCCCTTGATCCGCTCTTGATTCTACGGCTTTTTATTGTCAGACTGTGGAACAAATTGCTTGCTTCTCCTGTGAACTATCATCCGAAAATCAAGTGAAGGGAAGGGTCACTTTGGGTTTTGATGTGTTGTGAGCATGTACTATCGGTGATGAGGGCAAGCGACCTCTGTGCCTGTCTTTGTTCCTTAGTTTAGTAGTACATGTAGTTTATTTTTATGGTGGCGTTTGGCCTTGTGTTGAGCAACTTCCACCAGAATAGTATTTATTACGAATAACCGAACTACTTCACCTGACCGAACGCAACTACCCAGTCTAATCAATTTTCAAACTATTTTTTTTTAATAATGTCTGAATACAATGTATTTGTTCATTGCTTTGTTAGGGATTATAAATGGTCTGCAGGTATTGCAGGGTGGTTCGGAGAACAGTGAAGACGCCGCAGGAGGAAAGATCATAGTAATCACAGATGGTGAAGAGAATAGGGCCCCGTTCATTAGAGATGTCCTTCCCATGGTGAGTTGTGATAAAGATGATAGTGGTGAAGATGATAAGTGACGATGGTGGTGGTGGTGATTGTGTTGACTGTTATGATGATCTTGATCATGATGACGTTGACGGTGTTAATTTTGGCGATATGGCAAAGCCTCAACATGGTCCAAAAGTTATGCTGGTCCGAAACTTTCGGACCATGTTGAGGCCTTGCGATATCGCCAAACGTATCACCGCCAACGTCATCACGATCTAGATCATCATCACAATCAATACAACCGCCACCCTGACCGTAGTCACTTATCATTATCAAGTTCTTTTACAGCCGTGAAATGAAGTTTCAAAGTTTAATTGTTTATACAATGCAAGATCAAAGGAGTATTTAACATTTGTTGGTGCAATTACAGTTTGATTGAAATAATTAGCTTGGTCGTTGAAATTGCTAAGTTCATATTCTGCATTTTGTTTCCATCGATAGCTGTACACAGGACGGACGAACATACTCTACTCGTATCGATATCACTTTTACATTGTAAACATTGTGGTGAGTTATACACACAATTGACAATAGAGCTTCATCTATAGAGTTCGACTTCAAATTCTTGAATAGGGTGTCTTTTAAAAATTGTAAGCAATTGTTCTCCTTCCGTTAATGGTGTATTCATTTCCTTTTAGGTTAATGGTTCAGGCGTAACTATAGACACTATTGCTCTTGGTCCGGATGCTTCACCACACTTAGAACTGCTGTCGACCACCACTGGTGGCACGGCCTACTTGCTCGAGGACAAATCAGGTTTACTCAGTGATGTTTTTAGCAAATCGTCCACAACAGAAAAAGGTAATAATATCAATGACTTTCGTTATCCTCGTACTGTCAGTGGGTACCCATTGGTCCCGGCCCTTAAACGCGTGGTCTACAGATTAAGAATTCATTTGAATCCTAAAACATATCTAAACATTGATTTTGGACGATTCTTAAGAACAGCGATCTCAATTTTAGTGATTTGGAATGAATTCTGAACGGAAATTAAAAGAAACATACTTTCCCATTATTATTTTTTTCTCATTTTTTTCTAGCCATAACGTCCGTGCCGATCACCTTGTATTCAGAGTTCATCCAAATCCCAGTAGGTCAAAATTTCACTGACGCCGTCTACATAGACTCCTCGATCGGTCGTGATACCCAATTCGTATTTGGCTACAGCCACCAGGACGGCATAGCAGTGCGTATGACTAGACCAAATAAGACCCTGATAACGGCGGGCTCGCCAGAGTACGACACCAACTCGGATTTCAAGCGAATCCGGATCGCTATCCCTGGTGATGCGCAGGTAGGTCGTCAAAGTACTTCCCAGAAACGCTTTGAATTAAAATGGGGTATATAATCAATCGTTTTAGTATTTTGTAGACACCGTCGCAACTAGAGGGGGAGAGTGACAATTCCAGAAGTCTTTTTATTATGTTGGTAAAAACGTGGTGGCACCGTCAGCAAATAATGGCAACATAGTGCCACGTGGTGTCAGGTGGTGTCCAGTCCCGTCTGCAATGAACAGCGACCCCATGTGCCCAACAATGTTCACACCCCTCCCCTCCCCATCGTTGACAAATTCAAATTGGCACTGAAACCAAGGGGACCAGTGCTGTCTTTTGTTGAGAGCATTTGAACAGAAAAGCTCCTCAATGTCATGCAATGGCTTAGCACCGAGTGCATCAGTTCTATTCCAATTTGAAATACGTCTAAATCATAAAACTGTAAAAAATAAAGCTCTTGAAACGATGGCCGGTAGAGCCTCCACGACGAGGGATTAAAAGTCGGAATTCCACAACTTTACACGCCTAGCAATCTTGTAACAGTCCCGAAGTGAATGATCTATTGTTAAACTACAGGTTGGTCTGTGGACATTTGAGATCCGCAACAAGCGCCGGGAAGTGGAGAACGTGACCGTGTTGGTCCAGAGCTACGCCCGGGAGAACCAGGAGCCCATCCTTATCCAGTCATACTGGAGGCACACGACTGTCGTTCCACCACAAATACAAGCCCTCTACGTGTCCGTAGGGCAAGGTAAAATGTCAGATCTGTAATCAAGTCATCACAGCTTATCACAAGTTATCGCAAGCCATCGCAAGTTATCATCCGGCCATACGTCGAGTGAAAGACATTCCTTTGTCGTTGCACATCCCCTGGTACTTGTGATCTGCCTTGTGATTTGACTTATGATTTGACTTATGATTCATACTCGATTGCATTACTACACAACATAATAAAGGTCATTTTCCACCAATTTCATATTGAAGGTAAATTCATTGGTCAAGGTCTGCCAAACAAACTATGTGAATTACAATAATATGAAACACTACAACTGAATGCCAATTGTACTTTGATTAAGGACTGTAAACGATCTCCTGTAACCGACTGTTTTATCAAGGAACAGAACTGTGATTTTTTTTTGCTTTTCTTAGAATTTTTTGGCTTGTTGAGTGTTTAACCAATTTGTGTGCAACAATCACATTAGCTGCGTCTCTTTCCCTCAGGCGATGAAAAAAAGTCCAACGGCTGAAGTAATTTATGCTTTGTTTAATAACAGCCAGAACTGGCTAATTGAGCTTTCACGTTATTTAATGCTTGCATATATTGCTTTTTTAAATTCAGGTTATACGTCAGTTGTTGACGCCGACGTCAGAGCTTTTGTTGACCTCCCCTGCGGAAACGGAAATGAGACAGTGACCTTGCACCCTAAGGATGATGGGATAGGTGCTGACATCACGAAGGATGATGGCGTGTACTCATCGTATTTCACCGAGTTCTGTGGCGAGGGAAGATACGGTGTCAATGTGAGACAATTTTACTATTCAGTCAAAAAACACAGCATAAACAAGGTTTTTTCATATTTAATAATGCAATTTAAAGTCTTGCAGTGCTATCCTTGCAATGCTAAGCTACATGTTTCTTCAAAGTACCAAAACAAAAAGCGAATAGAAGGCATTGACAGTTAAAATCTCAAGGCTTTTGGGATCTCAGCTATGGTTGACACCTCCATCATCAATACATTTGCAAAGGTTCCCCATAACACAGCCATCTGAGACTCTTGAGATTTCAGATTATTAAAGCCGTCAGGAATTCCAGTCTTCCTTGTTCATCCTCATCCACATTCTTTCAGAAATAGTGCCAGAAGGAGTCAATTATAAGCTCAAGCATGTACTCACCATGCTTACTTAAAAAAAACACGCAAGCAAATGAGCGAAAAGTAAAGAAGAAACTTCATCTCACGAAGCAACAATGGAAATTTCAGAAGCCGTTATCCGATCTCAAAATGAGATCAGGACACAATTTCATGGGACTGCTAATTTGTCAATTTACAATATAATATAGCCGTTGTCTTTTATAAGGAGACTTATCAGTAAAACCACAGCAACAAATTGGCACCAGATCTCTAGTCTTATACGAACCCTGTTTTCATCGATTCTAGATCGAGGTCATTAATGACGGTATGGTGACGTCTGTGGCATCCGGTAGCATCATTGGTGCGGGCGCCGCGATCAACCCGGAGTCTACCGGGGATGACTCCCAGCCCGAGCCTGAGCACCGAAGCACGGGTGATTTCAGGCGCGTCAGCATCGGTGGCAGTTTCAAATGTGAGGGATCGAACATTTGCAACGGTGAGAACTTTGACAAGTTGTGAAAGTAAACATTGAAATGTGTTTGGCTTATCTTGGTTCCTTTGGGCTCAGATAAATGTGTCTATAACCTTACATACATATCCGAGCAAAAGAAACTAATTAAGACAGCGCTTATTTTCGAAAGTACTGGAGAGAACACTCTGCTGCGTTGAGTAAACTTTGCCCATATGAATCAAATTAAGTCAGGGAACTTTCATGTAGATGTATGTCCTTGGGCAAGACACTTCGACACAATGACTTCTCATCCCTCCCCCTCGTGGGAAGTGGATACCACCGAGAGTGATACTACAGGCTATTTGGCAGTACAGAAGATTGTTGGAAAGTGTGCTGAAATTGCTGAGAAAAGAGGCCTCCACTGCAGTTGTGGATCAAGTTGCCCACCGTTCAAGAGCATGCTCATCGTTTTAGCAAATTCACCACATTAAATATGTGACCCACCCCCAAAAGAGGAGTCACAAGTCGCCAGAAGGCGTTGGTGTAACTTGCTTTTATTTGAAACCATGAACTATCAAAATCAATAGGAAAATGTCATTCTGCGTGAAGTATCACTATGCTTCTCCGTGTGCAACTATATAGTGAGTGAAAAGAAGATGTCAAAGAATCTTAGAGCAAGAAACTTAGGATTTTATTGGGTACAGTCAGATTTTGTGAACATACCTGTACAATGTATATCAGCGATTGCAGGACACCTTCACCTATTGAAACTCGTTAATTGTGTTTCTCTGTTTTACAGGAAGCATTGACATGTATCCCCCAGCCCGTATAACTGACTTGATGGCGACCAATGTTGATCCTAACACCAAACAGATTAAGCTGACTTTCACCGCACCAGGAGACGATCTATCCACGGGCAAAGGTATTTGTAATAATCCATTAATGCTGCTAAGCCATAGATTCTAGAAAACATTGATTGGAAAATACAGCGATAAATGCATCATGTTAGGCTATTTCCAGTCATTGACTATTTTTACGTAATGCACTTCCTTTATTCGTTTTATGTGAACTGTACAAGTCTATTAGCTCGGTGGTCGAGTGGTGTACTTAGTGCATCAATAAGCAGGATTTTCTTGGTCCGAGTTTTTGTCATTTTTTTTTACTTTTCTAGCAATAGGCTGCAAAAGTTATTCACTTTTGAATTATATTCGAATTATATGCGGCAAATCAGTAATTCGCGTCTCACACGTACACTGGTCCCGCCCCGCGTCGATAATGTGACGACCTGGAACTAGTAAACTCGCACGGTGAATCTGTAGACGCACATAAGTAGAAAAAAAACCCTTTTTTTGGATAACCCAAAAAGTTCGTTGGGAGAGAAACAAAAAAACATCACAACTTTGTGTTAAAGAGCACGGATAGAACATTTAAAGGGATTCGTGTTGATTTCTTTTTCCTGGCAGCCTCATATTACGTCATCGTGATGTCACGAAGTGTCTCCGACATTTACGACAACTTTGACGGTGTGCCAGAGGTGCCATTGGATAGCTTTGTGGAAGGTAATGTCACGCTGACAAAGGATGCCGGCGAAACCGAGGTCTTCGTGATTCGAGTGACAGAGACCGGTAAGGGAACAATCTACTCCGATAAACTTGCTTTCTAACTACACTTATGGAGGGTTTTGGGCCTCCAACTCTGAAAAAAAAGTCTAGATATAAACTATTAAAAAACTATATAAAGGCCTGTATTGTCTCGGTCCTGTACCAATAATGAAAGCCCATGTTCCCATAATTATGTTCTGCCCACCATAAAGACTGCAAATCAATAGCATGGGCGTCGCCATTAGGAGTTTTTCTTAGAGGGGGCCAAATCACATTTTTCCCCAAAATCCCTATAATTTCCAGCACTTTCCCGATTTATCATTTTTCGAGGGTGGGTAGGGACATTTGCCCCCCCCCCCCCTAACAACAATATTACTTCGCTCCTTTCCAACTGGGTTGGAAAGGTAATACTTAAACTCAAATTCCTTGCAATCTCTGAAGAAAACAGATCTGACATACCCGCTGAAGTTGCCCCCCCCCCCCCGATAGCCATGCACAGGGAATAGATTTTAGCAACAATTAGGCCTACTGTCTATTTTGTATCTGTTTGTCCGCTGCAGGTGCTTTCAGCTACTCCTTCGCCGTTGTGGCCATAGACGATGATGGAAACCGAGGTGAGCCGTCCAACGTTGTCACGTCATCAGCCCGCGATAGACGGCCAGTACCACCGTCGGGAGTCTCCTTGGGGCTGGTCGTCGGTTGCACGCTGAGTGGCGCTGTCCTCCTGATCCTGGTGCTGATAGCTGCGGTGTATGTATGCCGCAGGAGACGGCAAGCGGGAGAAAAGGGTAATCCTGAGGTTGGAATGGTCAATGGGGGCACCACCGCGGGCAATATGTATGCCGACAACAATGTTGGGATGGAAAGCCACCGCCCTGTTCCCGCACCAAGCGCCCAGCCGATGCCACCCAGTGGCCCTCTGAAACCACCCAATTCCCCATGGAGGCCAACTAGTGCCCCGCTGAAGCCACCCGTTGTCCCACTGAAGCCACCCACTTCTCTGATGAGGCCACCCAGTGCCCCACTGGGCTCCCCATCCAGTTCCCCACAGAGGCCAACTAGTGCGGCCCCGCTGAAGCCACCCGTTGTTCCACTGAAGCCACCCGCTTCTCCGATGAGGCCACCCAGTGCCCCACTGGGCTCCCCACCCAGTTCCCCACTGAGGCCAACTAGTGCCCCGCTTAAGCCACCCGTTGTCCCACTGAAGCCACCCACTTCTCCGATGAGGCCACCCAGTGCCCTACTGAAGCCACCCAGTTCCCCGCTGCCCACAGATAACCCTGAAGGCAACCTGTACGAGGGAGTCATCAGCCGCCGACACAAAGATCCCAACTGGGACCCGACTCTGCCAAACAACAGCGAGGGGGGTGGGGCTAACATCCAGACAGGTCACGTGGCCAACACTCGGGCCGCGTTTGACAACATTGGTTTCTTGAAGTAGACAGGGTATTAAATCTGTCAGACAAGGAATTGATATAGGGTGGAGATAATCTCATGTCAGGTAAATTTCAACAATTGAGTAAAACGTGGCAAATAAAATAGCAGGTTCAAATTTGTTACATCCGGGCAGCTCCATAAATAAATGTGTTAAGTAATCTTACAACGGTGTACATGTATAGCAAAGAGATATGAGATACAGTGTAGCTCTTACTGTCTTAGGCCACATTGGGCCATTTAGTGTTCCTGCAAGCAACTCATAAAAGAGGTGAGGATGGAATGTATAACTTAATGTACTGAGAATTAGATTGGCTTAATTGATAACGTATGCAAGCGTCTAGAAATTGCTGTAGTGTATACATTGTAACAGTCTCATCCTTTGGTTAGGGGAGGATTCCCATTTAAAGAAGCGGTACCACGAGGTACAGGGTATAAATAATTTCATAAGATGATTGGCTAATTTGTTAAACAATCCAATCAAAACTTGTTCGTTAAAAAAAGCATGCATGTTGTACAAACGCTGTGAATAGCAGACCTTATCACATTTTTTTCGTGTTTGGGGTTAATGTTGAATGAACATCATAATGATTTGTAGATGTTATAATATGTATACTTATAAGCATCGTAAGTTGTTTTCTGCATAGACTTATGTCATTTATACATACATGTATGTAAAACGCGAATTGGCTAAAATTTGGGATTTTATCAATTTTATTTAAATGGTTATTTGTGAAATGACCTGAATGGTAGCATGACTTTGAAACAAAAGTCGCAAAAGATATTATTTAAAGCTTCAAAAAGTGATAGATTTCGTTTATTTTTCATAATAATGACTTCATTGCTATAGTGAAAGATTTCAAAAATGTACTTATCATAAAGTGGCATTAACTCTTAACAGATAAAAGACGGCGTTCTTTGATACTTCCGCATTCAAACGATGTTGTGATACAGCCAGTCTGTTTCATTATTTCTCACTTTCACCTGACGCCAATCAAGTACCAAATCACTATATTATTTCTTAAAAAGGGTGATTAGTAATCTTTATAATTGCCTCATTTCATACATTGTTAAAGTTCTTTTTTTATGCCGAATATGAAAAGCGTACAACACAGCTTTGTGTTGATATAGATATAATGCTGTACATATTGCAGTTGCTGTGATGTCGAGGCTCAATTCATTTTCAAGTCTGAAATAGTCCAGTTCGTATATATGTGTATTTTTGTATTCAGTTTTATGTTATGCTTTTTAATTGGTGTTCTCTTATAATTAGCCTTCACTTACAGTATAGAAGAAGCTTCTGATTGCGGATTGATTGGATAAATATAAACAGTAGGCTTACTGTTGGGAAGCTTATGAATATAGTCTTGATATGCTTAGAAGTTCCCGCCATTTTTGTAGTACTATTGTAGAGAAAAGATCAAAACGTCCAAAAGATCCAAAAATCTTCCAGATCCTACCTCTGTAACCGTCTTAGAAAAATAATCCTTCCGTGCACTATATGAACAGAAAAACGTTCTCGTATATAGATTGATCTTCAAACGCCGTGTGATACTTGCATTGGTACAAGGTAGTGTTATGTAGTCAGAGGTAATATTGTGATGTGGCAGATACAATAAAAAGTTGGTATTTGGAGTGATTGGGTTAAGTTGGAAAATACAAAAGAGTTTACCCATTCCAAATAGCGGCTTCCTGTTGTGTCCAGACTATTTCAGCTTGGATAATTGTATTGTTTTTAATTTGATTATAAATTTTATATTTTACTCAGAGTGCAGCGTGAACATAACTTGCTGGCGAGTTGTGTTTTTTGCTTGTATCGAAATATTAAAGGTTTTATATGATATATTTTGTTGTCACTGTTTTCGTCTGCCTGTGCTCTTTTTAAACAATTTTTTTAGGAATTTCAAGTGAACATGTAAGTTTGTAGCCATAGAAAAAGTAAAGCCTCTTGTTACAAGACAACACCACCCAACACAATTTCCTGCATCTCCCTCAAATTACCATACTTAATTACCGTTAGTGCACCCGTGCTTATTCTTCGGATAGAATGAATTCTAAGCATGGTTAGAGTTTGCTATCCTGTAAGATACTTTTGCAAAGTGCCGGCAAATACCTAGTCTGAGTATCACCCGTTGTCCAAAGCAGCCCTCTGAAAAAATACTCCTGATTGTGATACATCATGAAGGATTATTGGACGGAATTTCAATTAAATTTAATTAGTAAATCGTGATTTATCACCCGAACCGTAGAGTATTTTTGTCATGTACGATGGCATTCATCCGGAAAAGTATTTTTCAGGTTAAACACATTAAGTTATTTCTAAATTCTCATCAAATTAAATTTCCAAATGTTGCACTAGTTAATAACTTCTGGACGAGTTTCAGTATAATACATTTGGTATTTCACAAGCTATTGCTATAAACAACAAGAGGTTTGTTGTATTGAGCGTCGTCTCATTCGGATTGTTGTTCATGGTAAAAACACTAGGTTGTTTCGGTCATATTATTATTATTTATTTTTTTGGACGAGTTCTTGTGAAATTATACTGGCGATCGTGACACATTATGAACAACTACTCGACGAAATATGGAGTTAAAACATTCAGTATTTGCTGAGATATTGCCCGAACCACGAGTGTCTTCTTTTTACTTAATACTATATTTATTAGTCTTGACGCTGTGTAGTCAGTAGTTACCGCAGTGTATGTGGCGCGCCCTCTTTTGAAATAATAAAGCATTAAAGCGCTTAGTACATTCGTCTCCGTGCGAGAAAACGCTTGGTACATTTGTCTCCGTGCGAGAAAAAAAAAGACAGAAAAGTGTAGATGGAAAAAGTGTTTGAGTAAACGACCTAGTCAAAAAAGTGAAACAAAAGAACTTCTTTGGAATTTCTTGGGTTATTGCAAACAATTTTTCGTGAACGTTGCTTTCTTCGGATTTTATTTTTCACGTTTAAACACTAAATTGTTTCGATCTCATTTTCGTTCTTGTTGGACGAATTCCCATGGAAATATACTCCTGAATGTGATACATCATGAAGAACTATCGAACAGAATTTCAATTAAATTTAATCAGTAAATTCTGATTTATCGTTTGAACCATAGAGTATTTTTACGATGATATTCATTCGGAATAGATTTTTCACTTTTAACACAATTAGTTTTTTCGCTCACATTATGCATAATGACTTAGATGTTAATACCACATTACTCTAACTTTAAGCAGAAAGTTACCTTACAACCACTTACCTATTTTAAGTAATAGCAATGCTATTATTCACAAATTTAGCTCTGAAATACTCTAACAAATCCCCCATCCCCCAAAAACAAGAGAACAAAATCAGCAAAATGAATTATAACCATGGGCGTTAACCCCAGATTTACAAATATAAATATCCCTTTTCCCTTTGGAGCCGGGGGTCATTCCCATAAAACAAAAATTGTAACTTAAAAAACACCCATTCAAGCCGTTTTGCTCAACGGCTTTAAAGGGCGCCCTTACTTGAGAATGATACCACCCACAGCCCTGTTCTGCCTCCGCATTTTCCCCCTACACTGGCTCAAGACGAAATGTGTTCTTAACTAGTTTTAAGACAGGTTTTGGACTGCGTTTCCCAAAAAAAAAAAAAAAAAAAAAAAAATTATCAATCGCCCTCTTGTGTTGGCTCAAGAAAAACTAAACGAAGACATAGAGTACCGCCCGATCATCATTTTAGCTAAATTCTAAGAAAATCGGATGAGGCATAAAGAAATAACAATGGGGGCTCTGGATAGGCCAATGCAAACCAGCGACTGTGTCAATCTTTAACCCGACTGTTCGTCTTATCTCATCTCTATTAACCATCCGTTCCATCCGCAGTGATTGTCAAATGAATCAAAGCGCAAGCGGAGACGGCAAGCTCCCTGCTGGGTCTCGACCTACATCGTGTTTTCTCGTTGCAGGATCTCGTATCGCACGGCCGGGAGGATTCCCTTCCGGAAGGCCACATCCAGCAGCTTCTTTTCGTTCTTGATCATCGGGTACTCACGGACGGCCCACTTGAGGTAGAGCAGGAAGTCCTTCCAGTCCACCTGGCCTTCCGCGTCCATGCCGATAGCCCACAGACCCCGCCTGGTATCGGAGAACTTGTAGCTGGCGAAGTAAGGCGCCATGAAGCCGTTGTAGAAGGCGTAGATATCCAACATGTTGTCCTCTTGCACCTTGCTCTTGATGTGCCAGGAGTCCCACGTGATCTTGACGTCAGCGATGAGGTTGTTTGCGTTGGGCTCGTTCGCCTCCATCTTGGCTACGGCAGCTTTCATGGCCGGGGTGAGGGCGCCACCACTGCGGTCGAAGAGCATAGCCAGGCCAGCCTCGCTCATACACTCCTCCTCCCTGTTGAGTATAGGCGACAAAGATTTTTTTTTTTTATCGCTTAATAATCTATTTGGATTATGTCGAACCCTATACCCGCAGGAACTCTAACCAACATGCCTCAAAATGTTAAGCTAGAAAATGAAAACATTTCAGCGGTCCACATTCGACGCATTATACGCAATCATTATTATACGCAGTCTTTATGGTGTACGTTGAGGTACAAAATGGACGTGATAATTATGGTCAACACCAAATCTCGGTTTTTCACATTATAATTATGTAATCAATAGCTCTATCAGTCAGTCAGTGACCGAGTCAGATGAAAACAAACTAGTCTCCTACCAGCTTATTTTCAACAAATGGGCTGAACCTAACGATGTTCATCAAGGACCAGACACAGAGATAAACTACTGATGGAGTTCGGGCGGAAATTTCCACTTCTTTACTTAATTTCTAAGGATCTTCTTCATTATCAATATTTATGGGTAATCTTACCTATTGAGATCTTCCAACATGTATTTCTTCATCATGTAAACGCGTTCGATGGTGAACTCCGGGTTGGCACCATATAGGCCGATCAGTCGACTGCGTATGGCCTCTTCAGGCGTGAGTGCAGTGATGCGTACGGGACCATGCTCCCCAAAGAAGCTGGTCAGATCGAACTCGTTGTTGTTCAGATCGAAGACGACATCCACGGCCCTGGCGCCGTAGATGGGCTGCTTGGTGGGTGGGTCTTGCCCCGTAGTAATCCGTGTCACGTTGATAGCGGCCTGCCGCAGGTATGTGCAGTTGTACCTGTCTAGGACCTTCTTGTTGCCTAGGCGGATCAGGTTTGTCAGCGTGACACAGGACGAGGCGTTGCCCATGTTAGCGTTCTCTGTGCAGATGCTACCCCAGATCCCGTTAGCGCCGCTCATCAGAACCTAGGAAACGACGGGGAAATACAATCATTTTACTATCATTCAAACATAGGTTGATGGAGATGAAGTTGGAAGAACATTTGATGTGCCGTGAAACTGTTTCATCTTTTGTAAGCAATGTCGGTTGCTAACTCATTAGTGAGGTCATCACCTACTTTTTATTTCTGGCTTTGTCGCGACCTCAGGAACAGCGGTTTGCAGCAATGGAATTGGTATAGGTATATACATTAAACCAAGAACAACAGTTTTTAGTGTGAATAGTTTTAAAACCAAACCTCGACGTTACTCAGCTGACCTGGAGCGCTGTCGCGTCGCAGTATCCATATTTCTCGTGAACATGGACCAGCAAGTCGGCCTCCCACTTGTTGTCCATCATGACCTTGCGGATGTACTTGGCGAAGATGCCGCACTCCTCTGGAACCGACGTACCCCTGGGCTCCTCGAACAGGAGGCCGAAGGGCCGCACCCACTCCGGCAGCTGGGCCAGGTACTCCACGGTCCGAAAGACCCTCTCTGGATTGTAGGACATGGCGTCCGGTAGATCTCGGAAGTTAACCAACACCTGTTTCAAAAAGTGAAAGTTGACCCTGAACTCAGTGCAGGAACCATAGGTAGTCTACTCTTCGCTGGTCCCCAACGCCCCATCCAATGGCGCTGGTGACCACTAATCCCTTTCATAAAAAGATCTTGTGAAGAAAAAGCAAAACGTCACAATGCACTGAGGATAGCTCACTTGCCATAATTTATCACTGTAATATGAATAAAAATGGGAAAGCTATAGTGTTTTGCCTTTTGCCAAAGTCATACACGAACACCATTGTCAATTTCATTGCTATCATTTTATGTTTCGCTGGTTTTAATTTTTTTTTGTTTACCTTGACCCTTGGGTGCAATCGGTCGTGGCACCAGACGATCCATTTTCCCAGCAAAGCGCACATGTCGTCAATGGGGAACCTGTCGAAGTCGTAGGTGACGTCACTCAGATCCAACTCGAAGATGACGTTATACAGACCCACCTCCGCCATCTTCAAAAGGCCAGTGGGAACAGACTCAGTGTCGGGGATTTTGTTTTTCGTACCTGAGGGAAGAAGAAATGAAAAATGAAGACATACAGAGTCGATGACCTTTTGCACAATGCAGCGACTATTCATTCTAGCTAGATAGTTCAAAGGATCACTAACGAGAGCGTTCCTTGTAACTCTGTCAAACTTTTTTTAAAAATGTTAGCAATGTTGGTAATCGCACAGGACATAAACGTAAGTACTTCATGTGGATCTCAAGGTCTTGGATCTCAACATCTTGAATGGCACCTCTAGAGGTCGTGAGTTCGGATGTCGCGAAACGGTTCTTGTCTTGTTTTGAGGCCGGAAGATGACTGTGGTCGTTTCCGGAACAGTTGGTTGGTCCAGCTAACAGAGTTGTGCGTCGTGGGGCCATAGCCGAAGGGCGTGTCGCCGGGGAAAACGGCACAAATGGTCAAGTCTACGGTCAGTCCATGCAGCAACCGTGCTGGAAATCGCATCGTGCACCTTGAAAACGGTCACAGGCAAAGCACGGCCAGGTCAGCATTAAATTACAGAAGTACATATACAAGCTATTTTCGGTGATTTTTTTTCTTTCTTTCTTCCAAAAAGTTAACTCAGATACATCCATAACTAACAGTTTATACCATGCTTCCTGAAAATTTAGTTTACCTTCCGTGACTTCACAAAGAGCGAACAAGCCGCTGCGGTCTTCGCCCCGTTCGCATAGTTGCTGGATGAACACTTCGTCGCCACTGGTCATGTGCACGAAGCAAGCCACAATGATATTCTTGATTCCCAGTTTCTTCACCTCTCGGTAGATCTTCCATTTGGTCTCCGGGGTCTGTCCCTGCAATTTGCCAACGGTGCTCTCCCGGATCGAGTTGTCCAACACGAAGATGTCGAGGTCCCGTAGGACGTCGTACTTCTTCGTCTCCTGAGCTATCTCCGTTTTGAAGGCCCTCACCATGTCCCTGTGGGTTTTAGAAGACGCCATGGTTTCCTGTGTAACGAGCGAGTTTCCACTGGAGCTGTGTATGTTTATGGGTCTTCGACTCTAATTACAGGACCCCGGAAACGTCGTTTCATCTTTGTATCTTTCCCTAGATATATTACTCGATGAATACAGTGACCTCCGAGCTCCATGCACAACTTTTTGTCGAGCTTAACAACTAGTCAAGGATTAAAAACCCCTGGTTAGGCCCCCCAAAAAAGTCTCCGGTTTCTGGTATGGAGCTTGCCCCAAAAGTGGTGCGGCGACGCGGCTTTTTTTTTTTACCTGTTTTTTTTTTTATTTTTTTGGCTTCAAATGTCGGCTGATGACTGCAAATGGTGCCTGACTAAACTTAGTGCAAATATATGGGAGTCCAGAGAGGCCACATAAAGCTTATTATCGATCTAACCCCATCTAAAAACACGTTAAAATTGTGCAGCAGCAGGATTCCAGTTAAACCAGTGAGTTTGGCGGTTTTGAGACATCATCTTGTATTGAAAAAAAAACTTTTTCATTTTGCCGACGCGCATGGCTACGGCGACGCGCGCGCATACCAGAAACCGGAGACTTTTTTTTTTGGCCTTATATCCTTGCATTATCGGTAAATAAACCATGCATTCATTTACTAGACACTCACTTTCATCAGTCATTTTCGTCAGACATCCTTGATTCTTTTTGTAAAACTTTTTTTGTAAACGGATTTTTATAAATTTATGTATATTATACACAATTGCATAAATATCCAATGAAATCGTCTTCTATTACAATTCACAGTGCTCGATACATCTCTGTAGAGCTATAATCATGCAATAAATTCAGAATATGAGCTAATCAAACTTTGGCACATGCCAAAGTTTTTATTAGCTCATATTCTGAATTTATTGCACAATCGCATAAATATATATATATAAAGGCAGCCCGAAGGCAGACTGAACAACTCCCTGCAGGTCTCCACCACACCAACAGGATTCACCTCCCGAGCAAGGAACCTCCTCAACAGAATTAGAACTGATGTAGGTCGCTTTTACGCCTGATGCACGTTTGGAACCTCTCCGACACTGCGACATGCCACTTCGGTGAATATGAACCTCAGACGGCGGACCACTTTGTGGACCAGTGCCCCATCCTCCGACTTATAGCCGGCTGGGACTTCTTGAAGGTGTTGAACGAGGAAGCAATAATCTTGCTTCGCCTTGCCAACTTTACAACCTGAGCCGCCCCACCGTATAGTCTATGGAATAGCCGCTTGCATACAAGCGTCTTTGATATTCGTGCAGGATTCGGCGATTAATTATGCAAAAACAAGACTGCGTCTTGGCCTCAAGATTCTGCCATTCAGCGGGCGCCTTCTATCGGGTCTTGCGTAACCCGTTCTTGTATTACAAAAACATGGCAGCCCAGCCAATCAACAGCTTAGTCCACATTTCTAATCGAAATGACGTCACAATATCTGAAGTCGACTCTGATTGGCTGGAAGGTGGGATCGCATAAAAGTGCATGCTCGGATATGTCAGACGTTCGGATTGTGGCTCTGCACACAGTGTCTGATCTTCAGACTACCCCCACCGTACCACATGAAAGAAGGCAAGCACAGCAAAGCCGCATCGGCGGTTGAGGGGGCTATCAAAAAACGAGTGCCCACCGTCAGGGTACAGCCCTGTAAATAGATTCCCGATCCCATAGACATCAATGATAAATAGGCCTACCCCAAATCCAAATGACACTCATCAAATTAAATCGTGATTGACCTCTGTCACATTCTGATCAATTTGTGTGCGTTAACTATGACTTTTTCACTCCAAAGATGACCAACCCTCAAAAGCAGTCCTTAAGTCCATCCCAAATTTTTAATAATGATCCACCCAATCTCATGCAAACCAGAGCTACTTTCCGGTCCAAATGTTCTCCGAAATTTAAGCTCCAAGTCCAGATCAGTCCTTGAACCCGTATTTACTTACACAATTAAGTGCAACTCTCTTTCCAGGAAAAAAATTAGGGTGTACAAAATGGGGATTCAGTTTTGGGCCTATTTGCTGCTCTGCAACCGTCAATTGCGCTTATAATGTCAACATTTCTCCGTGCCAGTAAACATCAGGCCCGGAATTGCCTATATACGCCGGCCGAATCACAATTTGCATGCCCTCAAATTCTCCGTTATTAGAGCATTTTGTGGGCCATGAACTTTAGGGTTGGTGTAAAAGGAGGAGGATGAAAGCTATGCATAGGACATCGAGTTTGTATTTCTGTTCAATTTGTTTATATTTTGCAATGGAGCGCAGGCATCATTTTTCAACATGGCGATGGGATTCAGGACTATGTTTTAGGGGTGATCACCACTGAATGGAAATTTCTCCCAAAAGTCATCGGATTACCCTCCCCCCCCCCCCCCCCCAAAAAGATGAACAGAAACGTTTATTTACTGGCCTACAAACATAGATTCTGCTTTTCCGAGGACCAGTGGTCATCCCGACTGGCGCGCACAGAATGAAAGTGCATTGTTCATGGTGAGCTACCCAAAAATGCTTTGCAGAGCCTGCAGAAGATCTGGAAGGATCAGGGCGCCCTTAAATTTGATGAGTGGTAGGGAACGAGCGCACAAAAGCGAGAAGAGCCGTATCAGAGCCGTAGCGCCCCCTACCGATGAAGCTATTCTGTGCTTGCAAGGGTCCGGGCCGCGCCGGAAATTTACGGACCAGGACAAAATAGATTGTAGGCCCTACTTCAGATTCTGTTGGTTTTAGGCAAAATGGTGTACAGGCGTTCCTGGCGTTACCTACGCTTTCCAGAAATCGAAACCTAAATGAAAATATTGATGTTTATGAACCGTAAGATATTGACTTTTAGCAGAAGTTTCTTTCAGGGTAGCTACCCCTAAATTGTAATCAAGGAATTGAGCGATTGCATTTAGCAGCCATCTTTGGGGTGTGTTTTGTTTTGTTAATTCATTAACAATGAATGCACAAGAGATCTACTCATGCGTTTCCTCCAAGATGGCGGCAGTGCAAACGATCTGTTATTGCACATGTATATATAATTTCTGTGCAAAAAAAACCTGCAATGAATTTATTGTCAGCGTCACCATATCAGTTCTGACATCGCAGTATTAACTGCTATGTCCCCAGCCCCCGCAGTTTAATATGCAGACTACCGACATGTACAATAGTTGATGTGAACGTGACTTGTTCAAAATATATATTAATCTCCCTTTCCTAACACTGAAAGAACCCATGCATCGAATTGTATAGCTACATGCACAATAAGAGTTTGCACAAGAGAAGAGGTTGCTTTCTGAGGTCAGAGACCAGTTTTTGATGAAAGTGATCATGAGAGACCAGTGAATGACCAGTCTGCTCACTGAGGCAAGGACACAACCAGGGATATAATCCTTGACTGGCAAGGCCGGTTGAAAAGTACTTTATGGGGCTGTCAGAATTTGACAAAACTTAATTTATGAAGCGTTATTGGTATAAAGAATTGTATTTCTAGGAAACTATTTCTGAAAAATAAAATAAATGTTCAAAGGAAAGATATTTTTCTGCACGTTTGTCTTCTCTGTTTGCCTTTCTTTATAAATTGAAATAACCTGAGAGATAGTTTCAATCTTTTTGTAGGGAAAGACCATTTTTTTATGACTATTATTACAACGAAATACTGTACTAACATTGTATATCTGACTTTTTATTGCCTTTTTTACCCTACAAATAATAGAGTGTCATAGATATTCGTTAAAGGGAATATACATCATTTGCTTTTGCTGTAATTTTCAGAAATGGATGGAATTGGGGGGTTGGAAATATATAGCAAATATAGTAACACTGACTTTTTTGAGGTTTTGGGTTCGAAAATGCTATAAAAACCAAGAAAAACAATGATTTTCCTGTAGTCTGGTTCCCTGACTCCATATAAGAACAAACAGAGCAGTTTACATACATTGGGGAATTGTAAGGTCAGGGAACCAGTCTAGCTGGCTTGTACCCGTTCATAGGTGTGTAATCGATTGCAAACAAGTGCGATGGTCAATTGGGGCCAGTATTTGAAATAAAGTCAGTTTTTTCCGACGCTGGTCGGCCGACCAGCATTGGAACAAAAATACCCGACTTTTTTTTGACACAAAAATACCACTTTTCTTGAAAATGACAGTATACCAGGTGCCATGATTTTACAGGATGCTTTACACTGTCATTCACTAACAGTCCAGCAAGGTATTTTAAAATGATTTGGTAGTTTTATTTTTTGATGTTTGCAAATGTTGTATTTTCCTTTAATGTCCAGAATCTCATGAAGCCCTTCTTGCGCCAAACGTCAGCTGGTTGGTAAGGCTAATTAACGATGTCTGTCGCCCGATTTACGGAGAATTAATTTTTCTTAATTCATTGCATATTTATGACATTTTAATATATAATTATACACAATACAATGTATTTTTGAAATACCGACATGTTATTAGCATATTGATCAGATAAGAGACAGCGGTGCGCAGTTGCCAGGCGATCCAATTAAAACTGATATATTGATGTATTTATCTCCCCTGTAATTATAATTGGATGATACATTGTTCGCCATATTTGATGAATACCTGGAACATTCCATTTCCTCTTTTGGGGGACCGGATGGTGGATTGATAGCAGTCCCCTTGTACTTTGCGGCATGGTGTGGTGTTACTTTTTATATGACTCATTATTTCTCTGTATCGAGAACACAGGTCGGATTATCATGCGTGTAATTAGTTCACCTCTTTAAAGGTTATAATTTTTTACAACTTGCCCTTATTGCGTGCATGGATTATTAATCAATCAGCTATATCTGGATGCACAAAAGACTTTAAAGGTATCATTTGCTTTTAGGACATTTTGAGCAACAAAATTGCTCAAAATACTAAGTAGGGTGCACAACTTGTAGACGTTTCAGATTAGTGGATACTACATTTTGAGAAAATAGAGAAAGCGTGTGCACAATTAGATTCCGTGTTTAAAAAATATTTTTAAAAATGTGCCAACGGCACATTTTCTTAACGCACCTTCAGTGATTGTTTTCTTCCGAATGATTCCATTTTAGGTGGAATAATTTCACAGGGTATTTGGTCCCATCTTCACTTTGAGCAATGACGTTCTC